GTCTACATGTAGATTTTGGATCTTGGACTTTAATTCTTATCTAAAAAGTTTTTTATTTCTTCTCAATAGATACATCATATCTTTAAATATTATGGTTCATGAGATATAGGCCGCTGACAGACAGCTTAGTAATAGGGTTCCGTTGTCACCCTACGGTATCTTGAACCAATAAAATCTACTTTGGGTTAGAAACCCTGCTTGTGCCTCAGTAGTAGAGATAGTGACGTGTTGATACGAAACTGATAAAGTGATATTTATAAAAGTAATAAAAACATAAGTACTGAATTTCCATGCTATTCAATTTCATTGATTAATTTTAGATAATTTGTTTATCTCAGGTTGATTGCCATTGTTTGTTTTAATTTAAGCATTATTAAGGCTCGAGAAAGGTTTCAAAGTTCTCGTTTTCCATAAAGATTTAAGTTCTTAATAACGATTTAAATCTTACACCTACTCACCTGAAATGCTAAAGTGGATTAACGACGCTCAAGTCGATGAACTCTTTGAGTAATATTTATATTATGATAGCCAATAGTGATATATTAGACGGCACATTTGTTTCCATATTGTTGTGATTCATCGTAACATTCGTTTCGATTGACAACTCTATATGCCAAGCGATTAGAGTGCATAACTGATAATATAATTTTGTGTTGTGTTAGTAAATCGATACTATTAAATTGTATCATAATAGCCAGCCCAGTAGTAACATTATTTACAATGTAAGGTAAATTCAATACTTTGCTGATATCCTGCAATATGTTTAACAGTTTATCAAATGAAGGTTTATATCTGTGTTCCATTAAAATCATTTTGGTATTATGACGTTAATGGTTGATAATAATTGAATTTTTATATCAACATATTGTGAAATACTAACACTTAATTTATTATGACATAAATTTTATAATATAAGCACAATTATTTGTATTAACGTTTCGGAACATTTAGGTGATATATAAAAAGTTCTACATGCTAGATACCTCTTCTGATGATGATAAAGATTCCCATCTGCCAAATCTGCAATTTAGATATAAATCTCGAAAGGCTGGGATTTTTAATTGGTAAAATCTATGCTTGACACTCTTCTAACTAGAAAATCCAGAGAATACACACCTTCACTATTGGAAACTAACTAAAAAATACTAGATATTATATTGTATGGTAACTGATTACAGTGTTCATAACGTGCGATGTAATGACAAAGTCGCTGTTGTTGTTTTATTTTCCGCACAAATCAAAACGCAAATATTAACCAATAATAGTGAGGATCTGTTTTTGAATGGAAAGTTAAACTTTTTTGTATTTTCTAGTTATTTATGTTTTGGCAATCAGTCTTTTCTTTAATTGAACGCAAGCGCAACTAAACGAGAGAGGCGCAGTTGGCCAGCGCCACCACTTCGTTTACTGTCTGTCTGTTCCTCATTATCTTCTGTCTCAAGACTTTATCGTCATCATTTAATTATACAGTTTTTTTAGGTCTATTATTTTATATTTATCAACGTACCACTACGGTCTGTTTTATTTTATAACATGGTTTACTTACATGTTCATGTTAGCAAAAAACTACAGATCAGCCGACTACTGAAATGAGACGCCCGAGGAATAATCTCAATGTTTCTCTTCCGTTTGTTGATCTCATATTCCAGTTATAACGTTAGGTTTATCTTTACTGGAAAACATGGAATTGTTTTCGTCCTCCGAAAGATACATACTTAATAAATGATTCATATAATTTGGTAGGTACCTACTGTAATATTGTACGAAGTACGTGACTCATGTTTTATAGCCATGCAGATGCTGTTTCATGACATATGCTTGCAGCAATTACCATGATCTATTGGTAATTGCTGCAAGCATATGTTTCGCAAATCAATATAATAATTTCCACTGCCGAGGTATCTATAATTCTAAGCAAGCATTTGCCTTTGTTCTATTCTATAATAGGCATCTAAAAATATTCTTATTTATGACAATTATCTATATGTATTTGTTTTTTTCTTTGTTTTGTATTTGTCTGCCCCTTTATCTTATCAGCAATCGCTATTAATACGACTATGTCATACGACTTTCTCCTACTTATATGTGTGGTTGAATGTAAACATTACCTATGTAGGAGCGATTTCTGTTAGTATGAGCTAGTTCAGAGTTTATTGCTCTTTTTGCTATAGATTTAATTGGTGTTTGCTACATATTTATATGTAATCACAAATTAAAACTTAGCAAATATAAACTCGTAGGAGTTTCTTAAAACTTTCATGATTTTTATTATACTTGCTATATTTTGGGTCTTATAAGTTATTTACGGGATTGTTACCATGTACCTTGTTTTTAGCGAGTTTCCGATATTTCGGCACTGTTGCAAGCGCCATGATCACGGAGTAACTGAAGTAATTGCGGGTAGGCTGTTATTGGCAGACATATTGGTCTACCCTCCGACGAAGTCTTTTATTGCGTTAGATACCCGTACCACTGTTCACATTCTCACTATTCACTCGAAACTGTTCTCGACACACACGTATGTGCCGCCCTACCCGCAATTACTCCGTGATCATGGCGCTTGCAACAGTGCCGAAATATCGGAAACTTGATAAAAACAAGGTACATGGTAACAATCCCGTAAATAACTTATATTACTATAATGTTAGTGACCATGAAAGTTTAAAACAATATATTTTTGATCTTTTTCCAATTGTTAAAAGCAATGGGAAAAGTAGTCAGACTATCTAGTGAACGGGATTTTCCCCGGTTGACTAGATTGATTTATTTGCCAGCTGGTCAAAAAGTTCAAAAGTTTCAGGTCGCGGCACGTAACTCTAGCGCTGAACAAAACACGGAGGGTTTAGTTGCGCATGGGTACGACTGGAGGGCTAATCGGCGCAAGGCACGCCGACCCGCGTACCTCGTTCCCCCCCAGGACATCCTAATTTTTATTTCTGCGCAATAACGGTCAGCGGTAGAGTTTCGTGCCGCGACTTATAAGATTGCGCTGTATAAGTTGCAAAACAGATATTTTTTTTAATATATGTATTTATGCGTAAAGTATCTTTGTTTTACGCGTTAAGGTACTTTGTGATCGATAGTGGTTGCATATATTAATAAATCTGCAATTGACTGAAAGGAAAAGCCTTTATCATTTTCTGTAGGTAATGTTAAAATAATGAAAAATGTGTTTTTTACATTTTAGGCTAAATATTTAAATACATATTTATACAAAAAAAATACAGATAAAATGTTTAAATAACTAATGAATAAATACAGAAATGCCATATTTATTTCCATTCCATGCAATACAAGTTTGAAAATTATGGTCGGTGCTGGCCGCCATATCAAAGTAACGATTATTTTAAATAAAATAGGAAATCAATTAGTTATGGAAAACGTTTTTTTTATGGTATTGATTGCACGGGGTTCAGTTTTTGTTTTGAAGTAATTATTTTTAATTGACTGTGGTAAACATAATGCACTGACCAGCTATATGTATAATTTAATTGCGCTAATTGATCAATGATGTTACAAATCATGGAATACAGCAATTTTAGGGTTCCGCACTTCGAAAGAAAATATAGAACCCATAAAGAATCATTCGTGTTTCTTTCGGTCCAACTGTCATTATAATTTGATCCGAAGTTTCAGAACTGTTGGTCCGAATAAGCTCATACACGCTATGATGTACAATTCATTTAAATACGTTGTGTATTGTGTAACGTAGATAAATTAAAGAATTGTAGACATGCGGGCTAAGTGAGAAAACACATATAGAAGAATACTTTAAATTTCAAAAATCATATATTCAGTCTAGGTAGACTGTAACAAGCACTTGTGAAGGTCGAGATGCTTAAATTATATCGATCGTTTCGTAACAAATGATAGGCTCGTTGTGACAATCTAAATTGTATGTTTTTATGAAACTGAAACTAGTCGGCTAGCAGCCGACAGGGACGAAACAGCAGTTAGAGTATCTTGGCTGAAATTACACCTACTATCTATTAGATAGTAGGTGTATTTTCATTTAGAGTAAACCCTAAAAAGAAGTTCTGGGGCAAATTTCAGCAATTTCTTTCAAAGGTAGCTCGACAAATTAAATAAAAGTTTGATTCTGACGACGTAGCCTGTAAAGGCTACGAAACGTCAATAAATAAATAAAGTTTCGTGCATTAACCCGTAAAAACTAGTTTTATTTAAATTTCAGCAAGTTCGTATGTGTAGAAAAAGAGATACAGTTTTTTAAACAATAAGAAATCATTCTTCTAAGACAAAATCATTTTTTACAATTATACTATTAGAGTATCTCGGCTGGAATAACACCTTATATTTTTTCTACTTAAAAGAAAGTGCAAACACACTAACGCTCATTATCGCAGTGAAACATAATTTTACATCGAAAATATAGTTTGGGGTCCTAGCCCTACTAATTTCTTCGTCCCTGGTAACGCTCGCCTTGTGGCTACTAGTTTCAGTTTCATATGTTTTTAATTAAAAAAAAATAAAAGTTGAGTTTATATGAATGAAAATAGGCGAGAATTTTAATATTCCATTTCATTTATCATTATCCCTGAAACAATTGCTAAAGATTGTGTGAAAAAAATTAAGCAAAAAACTACGTTTTTCTCCTATATATTTATTACAGCAAAGCCCATTAGAAATCTAGAGTATTATTATATATAAATGTACATTTCTCGATCACGAACAAATCAGGGTAAAAAAAACTTCTAGAACTAAGATAACGTACGGAACCTTTTTCACGCAAGTTTAACTCGTACTTGTTCATATTTTTTTTATTATTTTAATTTTGTTTACGCATTGTATTTTATTACTACACATAAATAAATTCACGCCGTATGCCTTCCGGGGTTGGTAAAGCATCAAAAGCAATACCATGAGGCAGTTTAATATCGAAACCTTTGTATCACCATGGCGAAATATACAGCTTTCCTTTAGATATAAAACAACTTTGTCTTATGCAATCAAATACAAATACTTTCTCGGTATTGTTGCAGCGAAACACTTTACATCTATACATCTCTCACCAACGGGGACCGTTCTACAAAGCAGAGTTCCAAACAGAATTGGATTTGAGGAAATTCCACATCGCAGATGTTACGGACAAACGTATATTCGTCTCTGTCATGCATACGGAGACCCTGGCCAATCTGTTTGTGTCGGAGATCAACAATAACTTCTCGCAGTACAACTTCGTATTGAGTCTGGAGCAAGTACTCTGCTATTTCCCAGATGGCAACTGGAAGGATAGTTTTCTCGAGTAAGTTATTGGAAGGTTTCGATAAGAATTTCCATTAAAATAAAACGTCCTGCTTTCTTTTGTCTCACTTCCTGAGTATGCTGCAGGTGTCTTCCTTGAAAAGAAATTGTTATTTAGTCGACTTTTAAACGGTCCATTCTTAAAGTGGGTATTTCCAATATCCTGATTGTAAATAAACATAGACTCAACAGCGCTTACGTTAGGAGATATTTTTGAAAAGTAGCGGTATCTTGATGATCAAATTATGATAATGTACAGCGCTGACTAGGATATTAAAAACGGCTAACGTCTACTATACTATCAAGGTAATCTGTGACATATATATATAAAATGAAAACGTATTATTTTTCGTAGAGATGTGACGGAAGATCCTTTCACGGATCTGTATCGCGTGGAGGGTCTGAAAGGCGTGTACATCGCGTCGCGAGTGAACTCCAGCTCGTTGGTGATCAACATAGGTCCGGAGCACCTGGTGTCCGTGATAACCTTCGATCATGGAGTCACCTGGTCTCTCATCAACCCACCCACTGAGGATGAACACGGTAAGATGAAATATGGTTCTTTAAAGGCTCACCAGATTTGAAGTGTAGGAAACCCATTAACGCCCAAATGAAAACCATGGCAAATGTAATTTAACCAATTTTTATTATCGTTATAAAACAGTTCTACTAACACGCTATAAAGAAAAAATACCAGAAAAATAAATGAAAGTTATGTTGTTGTGTTGTTAGGGGTGTACTAAGTTTAGTACAATGGGCGCTGAAGAGTGATATTGAGCAAAGCGTTCTAGGGGACTTGATAGGTCAAGGCACAGCGTTTTCAGGCAGTTATCAGAAGCTTTTTTAACTCGGTCGGAACACGACACGTCTGAGTTGGTTTGGTATTTTTAAGGGTCATGACCATTATTCTTTTTATCTTCCTTGTCAACAGTAGAGGATGACTGCCTAGTTTTTTTTTGTGGCTCAGATAAACTCATGCTATAATGTCGTCTGCAGAACTTTAGCGAATCTATGCAACTACCCGGGTTTGCTATGCAGTGCAATCCCCATCCACTTTTTGGTTTCTAGTGGTATACCAACTTTTGACTTCCCTTTGTAATTTATGGTATACAGTTATTATAAATATTTTCAAAAAAACGAAACAAATACTACGGGTAAGAACTACGACTAAAAAGCATAAAATATATTGAATAATACATTCATTATACTATCAGAAATAACAAGTCAAGCGCCCATTGTACTAAAGTTAGTATAGCAGCACTTTATGTGTTATATCTTGAGGAGCTTTATTCTAATGTTACTTTTTTATACATTTATATTAGAATATTATGTAATAAAGTAAACAATTAACCTTTTAAATCATTTCTAAAGCTGAATCTTGGAAAATAAGTTCATTTAGTACTCACCGGCAGGCACGCTAAAACAACTTACACAAAATGATGATTACCCTCATATTATTTTACAAATTTCGTTTTATCTGTAAACTTATTATGTGGACTTTTGCTGTTCGGTTGAAAAGGTTGCTTGAGTAAAAAAACTTATAAGATAACTTTTATCCTAACTTTAAGTTGTGTGCTATCTGTAGTACAGCGGGCATTAATGAGTTAAGTTGTTTTTGTTGTCTTTAAAGCCATCCTCCATATGTCTTGCATAGTTCACTTTGCTGGAATACTGCAGTTTCAAGTCTAGCTTCAGATGCCAACAATTCGAAGAAGTGTCTCAATTTTAGGTGTTAATAGTTTGTAATTGTTGTCATTATTATAATAAAAGGATTTTTTTACCCACCAGTTCACGCGCAAGCAATTAAAAGAAGCATCAGTTACAAACACTATCTTTGCACATCCATTTGATTTTCGTAATCTTTTGTTTATGGTGAAATATTATAATGAAATATTATGGCTATAAGAGGTTTTCGCATTGGCTGGACAAAAACAATATTTTGCGTTCCTCCCGCTGCACGCTGTCAATCATACTGTATTCGCGTGGCCAGTTATTCCCCTTATACAATTTAAGTTATTCTGTCCTTGCGAATGTCATATGTTGTATTCAAAACAACGCGGCTCTTATCCGAATTAGCTTTAAAAAACATTCGATACAGATTATTTACGTCCTGATTTCACATCGGTTTTTTTTTTGTACAAACAATGACTCAAACTGGATAATTAGAAACCAATCATTATGCAAAAGTGTCGGATATAAATTATGAACACATGGAAGCCAGTCAAGTCTGCGGCTAAGCTAATTTTGGAAGTCCGCTCAAATAGTTTTCCTTAAAACAAATGTTGGTATGTTTACTTTCGGTCGATGATAATGTTGCATCATATTTTATTGTTGTGGTAATCGGTATTGTGTTCTTTATGATTCGGAAATCCGTTTTCATATTATCTTTCTGTTAGCAAGTAAGATACCAGGACTCCATTGGGCAGGGGATTAGGTTTAGAATACTATCAAGGCCGCGATGACTGAGGGGACACATATTTTTACCGCACCAGCCATCTTCGCGATTAAACTACACACACTTATTATCGAGGGGGATGGGGAAAGTAGAATATATATACCTAGTCAGGTCATAAATTCTGTCACATGTTTAATATAAAATAATTGAAACAAGTTTATTCATTATGTAACCATTTATATACCAAAATGAACTTAACAAAACATAGATTCTTATGATAATAAAGTTTATTCAAAATGACCTCCGTAATTTGAGTACAGGCCTTCAATCTGCGCGGCCAGTCGTCTATCGCAGCACGAACGAGGTCCATGTCAATATCGGCGGCTGCCTTAATCAAGGATGTCTTGAGTGACTCCAAATTGGGATGAGGCTTTCAGCACGCCTTTTCCTCCAAGTGTTGTCATATCTTGTAATCTAACGGACTCAAATCTGGACTGGAGGAGGGCCAGTCTTCGTGCCGGATGAAGTCGATTTCTCTCAGATTTTCTTAGTCTTGTGTGCTCTTCTCTCTATGAGCTGGCGCCGAATTTTGTTGGAATACTCAGTGCCTGTTATTGAACATGGTATGAGAAACAGGTTCCACAAGGTTCGTCAGGACTGTATTTTGATACACAACTGCATTCGTTTTTACACCTTTCTCACAAAAATGTACCTCTGTTATAAGCCCCAATAAGAAACTCCCAACCATACCATGAGCGAGGATGGAAAATGACCTCGCTGGACACGCGGAATACGGTTGCTCGCTTTTTCACTACTGTGTGCGTACACCTTATCATTTTGTTTGTTGCAGCTCTCTTCTACGGTAAAAATTTTATCATCCGAAAAAAGAATTTTCCGATTATTTTTCCCGCGTACCGCTTCAACAAAGCGCGGCATCTCTTCAGTCTCAGGTCCATTAGACGAGCATTCAAAGATGTCCTGTTTTTCTTCGATGTGCCCGAAGCCCTAAGTCTTCATTTAACACCCTTTTCACAGTGGTTCTGCTTAACTCCATCTGAAGGGCCAACAGTTTCTGCTTACGTTTGGGATTTCTTTGAATTCGCGCCTTCACAGCGTTTATCACTGCTGAAGTCGTAACAGACCGAGGGCGACCACTTCTTGACATGTCATTTACACTAGTCTTCATTGTATCGTTTGATGGTACGATAAACGAATCTTTTGGTTATATTCAAATTTTTCAGTATGTCCAAAATTTGAATTGGCGCGTAACCGCAACGATGCAAAGCAATAACTGCAACACGGTCTTCTTTAAGCGTGACCTGACTATGTATATACACAGTCACATTGTCACGTTACATTGTGACACAGTAAAAACTTTTCTTTTAGAATGCTGGCCACAAAAAAGTTTATTGAATTCGAAATTCGAATTGTTCATGATAATAAAAATGTATACTTTTTAAAATTTTACTCATTTTTAAATATGGAGAGGTACGCTCGACCCTCTTTCTATATCATGCTGTCGCAGACTGAAATGCAATGTAGTAGTAGCAATGGGTCAAGGTATACATTTCTATAATAAGATTCCTAGTGATATTCTTGTTTTGCCTCTAAATGAATTTAAAACACACATTAAAAATTGCTTGCCCAAGAAAGGGCATTATACTGTAAAACAGTATTTCAATGATAAAACCGCCTGGTCGTAATTGTTACCTTCAGAAAAATTTCAAAGTTATATTAAACTTGTCTCCTTAAGAGGAGTATTGAAGAGAACCTTGCACTTAGTGTCTTTTTTAAACTTGCTCATATATTTTGATAATTGATTACTGGATATTTCGGGGCTTTTGTATATTTACTGTTACCTTTTTACATTATGTGATGGAAGTTGACCTCAATACATGTTTATGAGTTTGATCTCAGCTTTCAATTGGACGACACTGTATGAAATAATACAGGGAGAAAAAAGCAGCCCTTGCTGAGTTTCTTGGCGGTTCTTCTCAGCACAAGGTCTCCCGCCGTAGATTTGCGAACCGATGGCATAGCTTTGGACTTTCACCTGTGCTTGTAAAAGCCTAAATTGAATAAATGAATATTGATTTAGATTTTTTGATATTTAACAATGCAGCTCATTATCCTTTGTTAACAGGAAACCGTCTCAATTGTTACTTGAACTACTCCTGCAGTCTGCACTTGTGTCAGAAGTTCAGTCAACTGTATCCAGTGACAAGGTGAGCCATAATTATAGGGGTAACGACAGGGTGAAGTAAACGAAATTTATTAGATTATCAAAAATTAATGGACACATTTATTTTTTGGTCAATGAAACAAAAAATTGCAAAGATTGGGAGTGGAGGCTCGTGACGTCATTTTTAAGTCAAGATTGTACAAAAACGAGGCGTCATACGACATTTCATATCAATACATCTCGGTAATGTTTTGTTTATGTGAATAAAGAAAAAATACGTGTTCAATACTGTTTTATAATCTACCAGATTGACAAGGAAAAAAAAAGTTTGTCGTTATCCCTATTGTATAATATTATGCTCCATATATCGCTTATTATAACGTTTGACATAATACGTCGCCTTGACGTACATATGTTGGTCGTTTACTGCATAATTTACACTCTACTCAAACAACAAGCAACAAACCTTATAAGGTTATTCATAATTTGCTCAAAATCTATATTTACAGAGCTTTTGTTTTGATCATTCATAAGGTTTTAGAACATTGTAGAATTTGTGAAATAAAATTATTTTGCTGTATTGTCAATCAATCTTTTTTAATATTGATATTTTATTACATTTCCCGTTCTTACTACCTACATTTTTAAAGTTTTAGAATCATCGCTTACTGTGTTAAATTTTTTGTATAGAAATATTATCTTTAATGTTTCTTTATTGCTAAATTTAGCACACTCGCATATACTTTTGCCTTGATTAAATAACAGTGGTTATTTATGTATTGCGCTCTGACAAACGCTTTAACTGTATATATTTTATCGTACCTACGTAATGCTCACATCATTTGAAATGCATCGCTTAGTTTAAATGTTAATAGGTATATAAAAATTATGTAGTGTTTTTCCTCGAATTACATAGCTGACTAATAATATTGATCATACAAAGTAATACTGCATCGGTGCGTATTAAATAAAATATACTTAATTTGTTGTTTATTAGGTTATGCTTAAAAATAACATGCAATAAATGACAGTGTCTACTCTATGGGTATGTCTGTAAATTAATTTGGCGGTTTGCCACCTTTATCTCTTATGGCTAATTTTCGCATAGAGATAAAATTATCTTTAAAAGCACAACAAATTGCTTATTGAGACTCGACACAATCGTCATATTCACATTCATGCATTTTCTGTCTGCGAAGTTTCGTTATCGTTTGAACTTTATGTAATTATCTACTTGAACATAAATACAGATCCGAACTTGACTGTGACTTTTTATCTTTGCCTTTGAACTATTTCATCTTGTTTATTGGCGGCTTGTTTTAATAGAACAAATATGATTACTATTTCTTAATTTACTATTTCAAAAGCGTATTGACAACATAGTGTAATGAAGTACTGTGAATTATCTCACTGTATATTTTTTTAATCTTTCATGGTCACTAACATTATAGCTATTAACGGGGTTGTTATCATGTACCTTGTTTATTATGAGTCTCCGACAGTTCGGCACTGTTGCAAGCGCCATGATCACGGAGTAACTGAAGTAATTGCGGGTAGATGTTATTGGCAAGCATGTCGGTCTACCCTCTAACGTCGTCTTTTACTGCGCACGATACCCCTATCACTGGTCACATTCTCACTATTCACACGCATCTGTTCCCGACACACAATACTTAGAGTATCAGATCGCGGAACGACATTTAATTTGCGGTTATTGCACATACAATTTATATACAGGGCGTCCCACGGCTACGTCACACGGAGGGAAAGTATATTGAATATTGAAGATAGGATATTTTACTGAAAGAAGACATCGTTTTATTTTTAATAGTAACTATAACTGCATTCACAGATTTATTAAAAATTGCCTGCTACAACTGGGAATCAAACTCGTGAAATTTCGAAAAAATAAACACAACATATTTTATGATAACCATCGAAAGGGTTAATCATAAGGATTATTTTTTGCTAAATAACATAACATTTTAAATTAAAGGAATGTCTTGTTACATGATAAAAATAATAAAGTGATATGTAAACTGTAGTATGTACTTATGCATTTCTTTTTGAACTCACAATGCGATTGGCTGAAATTTGTAAAAAAATATTTTAAAAATGGAACACATAAATTTTCAAGCCTCTGTTCTTTTGTTTTTGTAAGTTTTATTTTCGTTTTTTCCCAATTTTTTGTTAATTTACTTACCATGGGATATAGATAGATACCATGGGATAAAATAAAATGGATTTAATGGAAGTTTACTTTATGTACCACAATGAAATATTAGTTTTGCGGTGGTACCGCGAATGATACTCTGATAGAGGTACGTACCTTCTCGATATGTGTTTAAAAGGTTAGTGGATACCTTAAGAAATTTATGACTTTTTGATATGCGCTTACAGAACCACAGCAGCGGATGATAAACGTCAATGATGATGAACTCAACATTTCAACTTACTTTGAGGCGTATCTGATTTTATATTAGTTTGTGTTCAATAATTTTAAATAAAATGTTAAAATAAATTACTTTTCTTTCGTTTAAAATGCTATGTTATTGGCAAGAAATTAATCTTTATCTTTTCACGAGTTTGATTCCCAGTTGTAGAAGGCGATTTTTTAAAAATCTGTCTATGCAGTTCTAGTTATTATTAAAAATAAAATGATGTCTTCTTTCAGTAAAATATCCTAACTTCAATATTTAATCATACTTTCCCTCCGTGTGAGGTAGCCGTGGGACGCCCTGTATCTAATTCTTATATTTGGTTATTTCAGTCGCTTGTCTGACCAATCTTGGTATGTAGTGGCGTTCTGTTGAGATAATTTGTGGATTATGGAGCTCAATTCAGTGATTAGGACCCGAATCAATTAAATGTTCCGCGATAGCTGTTTTATGGCGTATCATTCTTTCTGACTGCTTTTGTGTTTTCTCTCATTCGGCAAGCTCTTGTTAAAAATATCGGAGACTCATAAAAAAGAAGGTACATGGTAACAATCCCGTTAATAGCTATAATATGTAACTTTAATTTCCCCTTTTAGTGAATTTGGTGTTACTTTGTACAATATTTCGATGAAAGTTAAAATAAGTATTTATCAGTGTTTTTTTTTGTTATCGTCTCAATAATATTATCGTCTTTTGTCTGCATAATTTTTGACAGCTGTAGTTCCGCTAGAGGAGTAGCGGAAACGAGATAATAGTTTTCGGATTCATTTATACTATATAGGGGCACTTGCACTAACATTCTTAAATCATATTAAGGCGTAATTCTGCTCAACTCAGCTTTGTCACAGTTAGAATGTGACCTCAACATCGATTGTTAAATATGATTAGCCAGACCATATGCTTCTTTGCTACCCTTTTAACATAAAAAATGTCTCGTGCCTAGATCGCGTAGATTTTTTTCTAGTAACATTTTCCTCAATAATTAAAAAAAATAAAGCATTTAAACCAGTAAAAATATATTGAAACTTTCAAATTAGATTGGAGAACTTTTAGGAGTATCTACAGTAAGAAGTAGCTTTAACACTTTATTACCACGTCGCACCAACTATTTGCACGTACTGGTGAAAACCTTTCAGTTATATAACATATAAATGTTGTGACATAGTTCTAAACGATTAAGCTACTTCGAAGGTCAACCGTACCTAAGCTAAGTACTCATAGCTAGTTGTGCGTTACTTGCAGCCCGCCAGGAAATGTCACCGATGGTTTAAGGTAAAAAAATAGTCTGTGGAGTGTCTGTTTAGTTTCTGCAAATGCTTTTTTTTTGCATCGAGTGTGCGTTTTTTCCTGTCATAATGAGTAGATGAAAACATTCTGTGAACTTATAAAAAGTGTCGATTCCTCATTTTCTGGCCATAGCTTGCAAGATTAACGTTTTTTTTTTATTTATTTGTTGCTCGTTTGAAGTTTTGTTAATACATATGTATGCTTGTTTCTAACTACTAAGCATTTGTAAAAAAGAAAAAGTGTTGTAATTTAGAAATGTGTAGATCCTTTGTATATTTGATTATTGTTTAGTATGTGGCCATTATTTTATTTAACATTAATATTTCTGGTAAATATTTTTTCCCTTGCATAATGATATGTCCAATAATAATAAAGTGTGTATGGTGCAAGAGGTATTTGGTTGTGAACCTTATTGGTTTTATACAGAAACGTGTAAAGGGTTGCTTTTTGTTTAGTTTGACTAACAATTTTACTTATAATATGTGGTGTTATAAAAGTATTGTAGATGTCATTGAATTAGTCACGCACCGCTGAATAGGATCAAATCAAAAATAGTCAAAAAAAAGTTAGGGGGCTTAAATATTACAGATATTACCAACTTTGTATTTGCTCATGTCTTCTAAGCTAATCTTATACTATATATATGTATCAGTAAGTAAAAAAGTAATAGTCACATAATTTATGAAAGTTTCCCCCTTTCTTGTAGGTCAGCAAGTATTATGAGCTCCAAGTCAGCCCCTGGCATTATAATGGCGACAGGGGTGATGGGCAAATCTCTCAAAGGGATTCCCGGCGTGTATCTGAGTCGTGACGCCGGGCTGACGTGGAAGAGGATACTCAAGGATTATTACTTCTTCAACTACGGAGACCACGGCGGCGTGCTCGTTGCCGTCAAGTACTTCAAGTCCCGCGGCGAAACAAGGAGAATACTGTATTCGACTAATGAAGGCATCGAGTGGAACAATTATCAGTGAGTCACAGCACAATATAATTATTCATCAACGTCCGATAACGCCAATACAAACTATAATATTCATTTCCAGGTTCAATGACGATGACCTTCGTATTTACGGGCTAATGACCGAACCGGGCGAGAACACGACCACCTTCACCATGTTCGGCTCCGCCAATGATCAGCATCAGTGGATCATTATTACCATAGATCTGCGTAACACTTTCGCGCGCAATTGCAGTTCCGAAGATTACAAATTCTGGTCCCCATCCGCTCTGAACTCTTCCGTTTCTTGCGTGCTAGGTGTCAGGGAGACGTATCAAAGGAGATTCGCACACACTAATTGTTACAATGGCATAGATTATGACAGACCTATTAAAAAAGAGATATGCGAGTGTAGTAGGCGAGACTTCGAATGTGACTTTGGCTTTATGCGGCAGGGCAGTGAATGTGTGAGGAACAAAAGCTCTGGTCACGATCCTTACGCGCTTCCCACAGGTTGTAAATCGGGCCAATTCTACAGTCGTACTAAAGGTTATCGCAAAATTGACGGTGACGTTTGCTACAGTTCTTCATATTTGCCGTACTTACCCGAGAGAATTCCATGCCCGATGGAAGAGCCAACTGAATTCTTACTCGTTGCGTTAAGGGAAAAAATTGCTCGCATTGACTTAACTGACAACACTACACTCATACCTGTAACTGATCAGAAAAATATAGTGGCTATTGAATTTGACATGAAGAGTAACTGTATTTATTGGGCTGATATAGAGGCAGATAAAATAAGTCGTCAATGTTACAACAATGGTACTACTCAAGAGATTGTTGTCGATACCGACTTGGCTAGCATCGAGGGTATGGCACTGGATTGGATTTCGAATGTGTTATTCTTCGTCGACGGCATGAGAAAGAAAATAGAAGCAGTTAGGACAGATTTGACCAATGCCGGAAGAATGAGACGGACAATTTTAGACTCTAAAGTATTGTCGAAGCCACGCGGCATAACGGTGCATCCTAAAGCTGGGTATCTGTTTTGGACGGATTGGGATAGGTTGAACCCTTCTATTTCTCGATCGAACCTTGATGGGTCGCAAGTGAAGAAACTATTTGGGAAGCCTATCGTTCAATGGCCGAACGGGATCACTATAGATCAAATGTCGGAACGGATCTATTGGGTAGACGCCATGGAGGATTACATAGCCAGCGCGGACTTGAACGGCCATTTCTTCAAGAGGATCTTGTGGAACGACGAGACGGTCTCACACCCGTTCGCTGTGGCGGTGCTCAAGGATAAAATGTACTGGGACGATTGGAAAGCCAAGTCTATTTTCGTCGCTGACAAGAATACCGGAATGGACATATTGACTGTGAACGATTCTTTTACGGGTCTGATGGATTTGAAGGTGTTCGCTCATTTCATGCAGCAGGGTAGTAATGGCTGTACGAACAATCATAGGTGCGACGCTCTGTGCCTGGGGATGCCTGGGGGTGGTTCCAGCTGTCTTTGCCCCGATGGCTTCACAATGAATAACGGGAAATGTATGTGCCCGAACGGAGAACAGCCTGCTTCCAACATGACCTGCCCGAAGAAACCTGGACTTACATGTGGACCGGTGAGTAATTATTAATCCCGATTTACAATTATTAATTCAAATTTTATACGCACATATGGAACATAAGATCTGTGTGAATCGGCAATGGAAATGTTCATATTATGTTGATGGGATATTAAATAGTTAGTCATGGGCCTACCATGACCCACCACGCGGGTCCAGTGTGGAATGGTGGATGCTAAAGACTAGAGACGCAGCCGGACAAAAGGCTTAACGTGCCTTCTGAAGCAAGGAGGAGCTCGAGATATTAAGTTTTTAATCACTATTAAAACAGTTTGGAGAGACTGGTACAACGCTGGATAAATCAAAATCTAGGCAACCTAGGTCATTACGAACTGTAGAAAACGTTATCAACGGAAAATGTTAATCAGTATGTTCGTGACGTCCGTGCCGAGCCGTCATAAGTAATTTTACTAAATAAAACTAGTTTTTACGGGTTAATGCACGAAACTTTATTTATTTATTGACGTTTCGCAGCCTTTTCAGGTCTGCATCGTCAGAATAAAAACTAGTTTTATTTAATGAGTGATGTGCGTGAAAACCTAAGAAACAAGTAATTTTACTGTTCGATTAAATGAGTGTCGAGAACGCGAGGGTCTACATTTAGACGATATTTTTAAGAAATAAAACCCAATAAGTGTATTTTAATAATTATTAAACACTTTTTCTATATACGGCTTACTGTTTTTTAATCGAACCACTAAATATAAAATTTCTTTTGAGACACCTTGTATTAGAAATTTATTTCATATTTTCCCTTACTATCCATATAGGACCAGTTCACCTGTAAGAACGGTCTTTGCGTAACCTCCACTTGGCGTTGTGACGGCAACAACGATTGCGGCGACCTCTCCGACGAGGTTGGGTGTTTATGCACCCCGCCGATGATACCATGCGACGACACCCGCTGCTATCTGCCTCATTGGAAGTGCGACGGAGATATCGATTGCGCTGACATGAGCGATGAAAAAGGTACATTTTTAACACGCTTTTATTAGTTTCACTTGTATATTTGTTTGTATGTATATGGGCAAATATATTTACAGGTATGATTTGGTACAGAGTTTCGGGAGTTTCTAGGTCACGCGTCGACGATGCGTAAAAAGGTTTTACAAAAATCTTTTTAGGGTTCCGTACATTAAAAGAAAAAAAAAACAAACTGGAACCCTTAAATCATCACTTTCCGTTCGTCCGTCCGTCTGTCTATAAAATCGGCTTCATTGGACCTGAATGAAGCCGATTTTATAGGACAAGCTTGGTTTCCTTATTGGCCATAACCAAACTCTTATGTGCTCATTCATAGAGTTCGCAAGTAGATTTGTGGCCTAACTAATATAGGAATATTTCCCAAAACTATGGTTATTCCATAAATATATTAATTGCCTATCTGATGTCTAAGGAATTACAGTTACTAAATATGGAAACAATTAAAAAAAATTCACGGTAATTTAATTTTATAAATTTCCTGTTATAGATGGCAAGCTGTCAATGTATTAACAAAACTATTTAAGTGTTATTCGCGTAAATTTTAAATTGCGAAGCACTGGTGTCAATTCTAACACGATTCTCTAAACCTAAACTTAATTTTGACAAAAGTGTATCCTTGTCATTCTCTATACGGAATGAAAAGGAGAGATTGATGTTAAATTTAGTTTTAAGATTTGAGAATCACGCCAGAAACGACACCACTGTAAAATAAGAAAGGTTAAAAAAATAAGACATAAATGATCAATATTATACTTGCCATAAACCAAAATAGGTACTTAAAAGTTCAAGGAAATTTAGTGATTCTGGTGGCCAAGAATTAATATAACGAACTGTTATATCTCATCATCAAATTTTATTGTTAAACTTGTTTAATATTTTCTTAGTAAGTGATGAAGGTACAGGTTTTGGGTTTTAACAAAGAAGGAAACTTATGCGTTTTCCTGTTATCCAAGAACCTTTTTTGAGCTCTTATATTCGCAACGTATCTATCAGATCTTGCACGTGCAGTTATTTTTAATACGATGTTTGTAATGCATGATCTCTATAGTAGCTAGTATAAGTATTATAAGTATACTAGCTGACCCAGCGAACTTCGTACCGCCCTAAAAATAGGGGCTGGTGGTAGAAGGGTGAATATTTAGGGTTATATGTATTTACTAATGCTGTATCATAAAAAAATAAATAATAAAATCTAAAATTGAAAAAAAAAATTAGGGCTGTATTACCCTTAACATTTAAGGGGATCAAAAATAGATGTTGTCCGATTCTCAGACCTACCCAATATGCACACAAAATTTCATGAGAATCGGGAAAGCCGTTTCGGAGGAGTTTAACCACAAACACCGCGACACGAGAATTTTATATATAAGATTCAACCGCAACAATGCGCAACTTTTTCCTCTTACAAGGATGATGTTTTCAGATTGCGACCGTCACAATTGTACCGAGAATCAGTTCCAATGTGCCAACGGACACTGTATTGAGAAACGGTGGGTCTGCGATGGCGATAACGACTGCAAAGATGGATCTGACGAACGTAACTGCACCGTAAGTCTATGCTGATAAGGTTTATATTACTCTTACGCCAAATTGAACTCTGTAACGTCAATAAGTTGTCACGTGCCCGTTTCAATAATTCTAGGTTAGAGAAAGATAGGGTACTGAAACCTAAAATTTTATTAGCGTCAAATGTATTATACATATTTAAAAAAAATGACAGTGAAAAATTGTATTCGGTGTCTAGGTGGAACGCGGCTTTGACATCTACCCACTCGCATTATTATCTCTTTGACATTGGCATATCCTGTGAACATCACATTTGTTATATTTTTACGTCACAACCGCTTTTGTCGTGATTCATAATGTTCGAATTACCTGCAAGGTTTTTGCTTTTTTATATCATTAATTTCTTTTCGAGCTGTCCCTCCTGATTGAGGGACAACTTAAAAGTAATAGTGTTTATATAAAAATTAAATGAGGCTTATTTAATTTAATGCTTATTCCCTATTATAATATAAATACAGCATTACATTGATTAAACAATACTGCTATTACTTCGATTCTAGTATGCAAGTCGGCCACTAGTCTCCACATCCAGGGTTTTGTGAAGTTTCTGTACATGAATATGTTGGGGTGACTTGCATCCATATTGTTTTGTAAAATTATACAACAAACTTATTGTACTATTTACTTATTTGAATATAAAATTGAAATATACTGTAATTAAAAGTTATATTTATGTGAAGAGTTTAAGTGTTTTATAAGTTTCTCAATTAATTGAGAAAATTTAATTTAGTTGTAAAAGGAACGTCAGTGTTTGGTATATTGTTGAAATTAGTATGACTTTTCTTTAATTAACAGCTGACCCCCATGAAACCTATTGAGGGCGAAGGTTTGAACTGCTCAGCGGACAGCTTCGCCTGCAATAACGACAGTATAAGGCACTGCATCCCTAACTCTTGGGTATGTGACGGAGAGAGAGACTGTTTGGGTGGTGAGGATGAAAAGGATGAGAAATGCAAACACTCCACTTGCGCTCCGTATATGTTCCGATGCCCCAGTGGGAAGTGCATATTCAAGTCTTGGGTAAGTAAATATATTTTTTTATATTTTAATGGTTCATCAGCCTATTAATGCCCCCATTACTGGGACACTGGCCTTCCCTATGGATGGAATAGGGAGATTGGGTCGTGACTCACAACGCGGGCCCAGTGCGGATTGGCGGGTGCTAACGATTGCACGGCTTAACGTGCCTTCCGAAGTACGGAGGAGCTCGAGATAGTAAATTATTGGTCACCCATCCAATGACCGACCACTGCGAAAGTTGCATGACTTCAACGATCGCAGCCGAACGCGCTAATCATTTGCGCCATCGAGCTCTTCAAAGGTATGTTAGACTATAAAGTATATTTATGAGCATTGCCTGATAAATAAATAAATATAATGAGAATGGACAATATCAGCCTCACTAAACTATGACTCAAAATTTCCGTGGAAGTCAATCGTTTTCACAAACTGTCATAGGTCAAAGGTTGTTAATTGGAATATCAGTTATTACACATTACACCTACTTGTAAACATGTTTTTGAATTTGCAAAATTCTACTTACTGTCTTACTTATTTTACCAGAGTTATTATTTACATATTATTTACACATTACACCTACTTGTAAACATGTTTTTGAATTTGAAAAATTCTACTTACTGTATTACTTATCTTACCAGAGTTATTATTTTTTATCTTTGGTGGGGAGCGAAATGGACTATTGCAGAAATGCATGTCAGTCCCATCATAATCATCAGAACTTAAACTAATACCTACATAATTTTCAATGTGGATACGTCCTGTTGTTGTTTTTATGATAATCCGCCACGAAATAACATTTTTATTCCATAAACAGGATTATATGTTCTAATCTGTCTATATACGTAATAAACTTATTGCCGATACAAATATTACATGGCAGTATTAAAAATGAAGTACCAATAGTAAACATCTGTGTTTAAAATGAATATTAGCGGCGATTTCTACAGGACAGATTGATAAATTTACTCAGAAATCGTGAAACAGTTTTTTATCTATTGTCACGTGACCGAAAATGCTTAACATTGAAGGAGTCTAAATTGACGTCACACATGTAAACTTCCGGTCCTACTGACATTGCGTGTACCGTTTGACGTTTAGATGTCAGTCGTGTGACGTCACACATAGGTAAACCTCCATATCACCCAGACAAACGATGGTAAAATTTTCTTCGAATTTAAGGTTTAGCAGTTTAATGCTTAAAAAAATAAAATATAATAAACTCTAATATTTCATTTCAATAATCAAGATGTGCGACGGCGAAAACGACTGCGGCGACGCCGAAGAGTCTGACGAGAAGAACTGCACTACCAACACGAACACGAAACTGATCCCTCGGCCGACCACAGAGAAGATAGACTTCCCTACCACCTGCTTAGATTGGATGTTCCGTTGCGAGAACGGCAAATGTTTGCCTTACTGGTGGCGATGCGATGGTATCGACGATTGCGGCGATCATTCCGATGAAACTGGCTGTGGTGCTTTCGGTCATGAAACTACTTCTGTAGCGCCAGATCAGACGAAAAAGACTAAATGTGGGAAGAACCAGTTCACGTGCGCACCAGGTTTGTGTTGAATTTTAAATGTTTTTTTTTATTTTTTAAAGACATGTCCGATAAATGACTTCACCCCACCTGATGTTAAGTGATGGTTAAGTCTACACGTGAAAATAGCTGGTACAGCAGTTCTTCCTGCCACACCAGCCATCCTCACCTTGTCGGCCTGCATGTTGCTTCTTCACGCCTCTTTTAAAGCATCCCAGGTTATAAGAAGGAGGCAACACGTGAGCAGGCAGAGCATTCCATTTACAGTTGTGACAAAGAAATGAGTATTATTGTTATTTGGTGACTCTTTAAATAACAATTATGTTTTCATCATCATAATTTCAGCCTATTGGTGTTAGCTGCTAGGCTTTCCCTATAGATGGTATAGGGAGATTGGATTATTTATCTATTATTTGGAAAACAAACAGCTAATTTAAAATAGCAAATATAACCACAAATAGCCAATAGGTCCTCGCAAATAACAACAGTAGATTATTAAGGACGCTCTATTTAAACATATGCACGCATACGACATTATTCGCTGCAATACAGAGTAAAATAGTTAAATATTTTTCAAAATTCAACATTTGTCAAAAACAAATTGGAAGCCATAACTTCGCCGAAGCCTAGCTAGTGTCAAAAAGTACTAAATTGGTCTGGTTTGAGAGTAAATTGAAATAATTACAAGCACGTGAGAGATATACATTCTGCCGATAGTCAGTAGACGCTGGACGGATATATAAAATTGGGTTCGATCTAAAGGGCTTTACTGGAACTCTAAGGTTAATTTTGGACAAAAAAAAAACCCTATTCCATCCATAGGGAAGGCCTGTGCCTCAGCAGTTGGGACATTGATAGGCGGACGATGATGCCAGCTTAGTGACGATTGATCAGTGCTGACGACCAAAGATGCAGCCGGGACCAACGGCTTAGCGTGCCTTCCGAAGCATGGAGGACTTCTATTTAGTTGTATTGCTATTATTTTTCTATCCACAGTCACGCTGTTTCTATTAACTATCTCTATCTACCATTTTAGAAACCGGAATTTACTTTTAGCAAATGTGTATTTGTACATTTCCTATCTACTTTGGGAATCTGACTTCAATATATATCGGATTTGTTTATACATATAAATAAAGGCGCTAAGTGCGCTGCCGTATTTCTTTCTACTCCACCGAGTACCCGATTTCACTATCCTAAGGCGCCATTCTTTTATTTCGTAAGACGATTTTGGGGCGGAGGGGAGTCGACCATGTCTTGTTTTATCTTACAAGGGGGTGGGAGGGAGTCTCGATAGTTCTTAAGTAAGATCACAAAATTCGCAGAGTTAAAATTATACTTTGGAAAAGTGCGGGCAAACGATAAACGATTTCCATGGCAATGGACCCGCGCCGCACGCTGGAGTGGTAAAAGGGTAAGATGAATGATTAAAACCAAAGCATTTCTAAAAATGTATACTTGGAAAAACAGACATTAAAACAAACCAAACGTGTATTAATTTTTTCCTTTAGATTCTTACGTAATAATAATTATTAAAGAGAGGGGAGGGGATCGGTCTATAGGGAAGGGGGAAAGGGGGTCAAAAGCTAGCGAAAATAGTCTTACCTAATAAATGAATGGAATAACACAGGATATATTAATACATACAGGAGCATGTATCCCCTAGTCGTGGGTATGCGATCGTCGCAACGACTGCGTCGACGGGTCGGACGAAGTAGGTTGTGAGAGACAAACGCCCCCGTCTCGAACCGGCCCTACTTTAGCTATAGACGAGACTTTTATTTTGGGACTGTCTATGATCGTTCTTACGTCAATTTTAAATACTGTTGATTTGTATGTGAACAGCTTCTTCTCTGTTCTTTTGCGTCTGCTTATTTATGGTTATATCGTCGACGATGGTTGTATTGCAGTTAGTTTTTACTATCTTCCGTCCTGTAGTTCTATCAATTGTCTCTACCTTCCGCTCTAGGAACCTGACTTTACTATTAACACGTGTATAGTTGTTTTTATCTCAACTCTTCTAGGGACCTGATTTCTCTATTTACACTTGACTTTTTGACCTTTATAGGAGCATGTATCCCCTTATCGTGGGTATGCGATCGTCGCAACGATTGCGTCGACGGATCGGACGAAGTAGGTTGTGAGAGACAAACGCCCCCACCTGGAACTGGCCCTACTTGTGCTTTAGATGAGACACCTTGTAACGACGGCCGAGGATGTGTTAAAGACGACCATTTCTGCGATGGTGTAGCTCAGTGCGCGGATCTCAGCGATGAAACTTTGTGTGGCCCTATAGTGAGTGATTTTGATTTAATTTTCTACTATAGTATAATGTAAGTTGCGGGAGACAAACGCCCCCATCTAGAACGGGCCCTACTTGTGCTTTAGATAAGACACCTTGTAACGATGGCCGAGGATGTGTTAAAGACGACCATTTTTGCGATGGAGAAGCTCATTGCGCGGATCTCAGCGATGAAACCTTGTGTGGCCCTATAGTGAGTGATATTGATGTAATTTTGTACTATAGTTTAATGTGGGTTGCTAGAGACGAACGCCTCAGTCTGGAACCGGCCCTACTTGTGCTTTAGAGAAGAACCTTTGTAACGACGGTCGAGGATGGCAGGATGGAGGATGTATATTTCTACTATAGTATAATGTAGGTTGCGAGGGTAAAACTATACTTCCAGGGCCCAAGAGGTGGTACTTGATTTGTTTTTGGAGAAAAGGTCTGTATTAATGAATTTTTCTTTCCGGCGCTTTGCCGGCTGCTGCCACGACACACTCGCTTTGCTCACTCGGCTCGTGCGTTATGGTCACTACACTAACCTAACCTAGTTTAAAGTATCATCGCTTGGGCCCTGGAAGTACAGTTTAGCCCGAGGATGTGTTATAGACGACCATTTCTGCGATGAAGTAGCTCAGTGCGCAGACCTCAGCGATGAAACCTTGTGCGGCCCTATAGTGGCTGTATTCTTTATATTTTTTTACCTTAAGTATAGAGGGTTTTCGACGAGACAGGCCTCTTGCGCCATCGGCTGAGGATGCATGAAAGACGAACATTTCTGCGATGGAGTAGGTTAATGCGGAGACCTTAGCGATGAAAACTTGTATTTTTATTATAATTTTTACAGTCGGCAAAATCAGTTTGGTACTGTGATATAAAACATGTAACTGATGGTAAAAACATTTTTATTTGTTACCGAAGAAGTGTGCATTTTGCTTTTGTTTTTTTGAAGCTTATGCAGCCTTAAACAACATGTAATTTATTTTAACTATTCTTCCACTACATCGCGTTTCACAAGGGCTTTTAAACTTATTTTATTTGATATTCTATGAAAATATTTCACTGCCATCATTCTTTGATAATACGAATCTCACAAAATTTTTCCTTCCCCAGGGCAACAAGACACCGGTACAATGTTCAGGTAGCGACTGGTTCTTATGCGACGATGGTGCTTTATGCATTCCCCGAACGAAAGTGTGCGATAGCCATCAGAACTGCTACGACGGGACTGATGAGACTAACTGTACTGAAACGCATCCTACACAACAGGTAACTTTAAATCACTAGAAAAGTTTACTAGAAAAAAATCTACCAGGCAGCAGATGGGACTCAAACCCGCACCCTTCGCTATCCGGGCGAATACACTGACCATTATGCTACCACGGCCCTGACGACCGTGTCGAATTTTCTCTAGCCTTAGGCTGCAAGGAAGCGCCATCTCTTCGCATTGTAGGTAGGTAGGTGTGTTTCTTTAGATTTAAACATCTAGCTGTTAAATGCTTGAAAAAATAAAAACATAACAGGTAACTTGTTCAAAGAAAAAACAGACCCAGCGCTAGTCTGGCCTCGCTCTATTAGGGTTCTGTAAAATTATTCGTTTGGTTTTGTCGCAACGTCCAAAGTACTTACAAAGTTATTTAAATTGAGGGACATCATACAACGATATTAAATACCCTAGATACACCACGTGCGCTCAGGATGTGTCCCAATCAAGAAGTGGTTGCATATCACTCAAGCATTTGGTTCACAGTCACGCGCGGACCGTTGAAATGTCAAGATACCGCAGAGCTCTGTGAAAAAATGCGAAAAAATACTTATAGTACGAGGTGTCGTTGTTTCGACAGATACCTAATTAATATTAGTTAATTTAACGCATTTAAAGCAAATTTAGCTCTAATATGGTGACATTTAAATGCATGGTAGGTAATATACCCGTCTCTTTTCCTCGCGGTCCGTACCTGCTGTATTGGTAACAACGCACTCAGAATTGCGTGTAAAGTCAAAGACATAAGGTCTTTATTCTTCCGCATATAGCAATAAGTCGTATAATTTTATGAGCCTGCATTTCGAACTGTCATAACTCTTTCACACTTGCATGGTGACTTTTAATATTCAAAAACTGCCTTATATTGTTTTTGACTACGCGATCATCTTACGGAGCTCCGTGGATTGTCTAATATACCTTTTGGACAGGTTTCGGCCACGAGTTTGTTCGTGTTGGTGTATCTAGGGTATTTAATATCGTTGACATCATATACCAAAATGTCACAGTCTTAACTAAAAGCTGTGTTATTTCACATTGCACATGTACATTATTTATAAATGTAGCAGTTTAATGCCTAAAATATAATTACCTAAATTCTCCTTATATTACAATAATAATAATGATTTATTTCACTAGGCTTAGCCTGTACTGTGGGGGAAGGATTTTGATATAAATACATTCGATAAATGTAACTAAATAGGAAAGCAGAGTTGATTTACAGAATACATTATAGAAATACATTCATTTTGTGTGTTTATGTGTTATAGCGATAGACAAGGCCTGTGGACATTAATAGATAGTCGGCCATGTTTGCAAATTAACAGTTTGATAGGTTTATTTTGTTTTGTTACAGTTGATCAGTATAGGCGTTGACCACTCTTCCATTAATTCCACCAGTTTCTTGGTTTCTTGTTGGATGGCGCAGCAAAAGATGGTGACTTACAGCTTTTTGCCGTCCATTGCGAAGGTTTCCGATGGCGTATGGAAGAATATGACTTGGTCCAATGACAGTATTTACAGGTGAGTTTAATGTTTGTGGATGACTTATATTTGGTTAGTGAAAAAAACTCCATTGGGAACGCAAAAGATACTAAGTTCATACAGCTTCATTCTTATATGTATTTTTTATAATTTTACATTGGATGACAGGTGTAGGTAGGATATTCAAATCTTCTTATTGTATTTGACATTAATTTTATCAACTCACCTTACGCAGTAAGTTATTTATAATAATAATCATTTATTTCAGATTAACATTGTTATAGTTAATATACATTGAAATTAAGATCTCACTTACACTTGATAACTTGACCTTGACTTATATTTTTTGAAGTAGCCCGTTATCTCCATATCGAAATGAAACAGGTAGACGGTTAAACAAAGTTACGAACTCGCAAAACGAAATTTATTTATTTATACATGAGTAATAGGATATTAGGTTTATAAATAAGATGTCGTGATCAGCCTCAAAGGCATATTATTATATAATACAGAAAATTAAAAGAAATATTTTTAGGATTAAATTCAACGCCATATCAATTCAATTCGTTTAACTTTTTTCTGCATTTATTATATTAGTTTTATATATATACAGGGAGCTCGATGGTGCAGGTGGTTAGCGCGTTCGGCTTCGATCGTTGAACTTAAGCATCTTTCGCTATGGTTGGTCATGGGATGGGTGATCAAAAATTTACTATCTAAAGCTCCTCCGTGCTTCGGAAAACATGTTTAGCCGTTGGTCCCGGCTGCATCTTATTGTTAACACCCACCAATCTGCACTGGGCCCTCGTGGTGGGTCATGGCCCAATCTCCCTATTCCATCCATAGGCAAGGCCTGTGCCCCAGTAGTGGGTACATTAATAGGCTGATGATAAATGAATGTATATTAGTTTCGAAATATAGTTGATGCTATGATACAGTCGTTCAATGGTAACGTCGTTAGTATGTTCTTCCACAGATTCACAGGCTTGGAACCCTACACTAATTACAACGTCACTTTCTACATCAAAAACAGCAAGTCCAACAGAACTTACGCCTCGATGAAATTCGAGAACACCACCACTGGGGAAGGAGGTAAGCTCATAAGGAGAAATTATTTCATTGATAAACTTTATTTTTATGTACAAAGGGATGATATGGTGAAATCTGAAAATTTGATTTCTGCCCCACCATAAGCTTATTCTGTTACGACCATTTCAAAACATTAAGGTAGATTTTTGCTTAAATGTATGTATACCTGTTATTTTCTGGACAATCATTTGACGTGACAGATTATGCCGCATATCTGTGATATAATTTTGATATTAAATTATTTGGAGTTTTGTTCATGGACTAAGATTTCTGTATTAGTTTACCAACGTTTTTAAGGATCTGTAGTCCTGACTAGGAACCCTTATAGTTTGGTCAAGTCCGTCTGTTTGTCCGTCCTCAGTTTTTCTTGGAGACTGTTGGCACTAGAGAGCTGTAATTTTGTGAAGGTATGTATTTCAATCACGCCAACAAAGTGGTAGAATAAAATTATGATTAATATTTTTTTTGGGCTAGCTCCCCTACATGAAAAGTGGGGATGATTTTTTTTCATTGTCTACCCCATCGTGTGGGGTATTGTTGAATAGAACCTTCAGGTATCAGTTGATGCGATACAAAGGGATGATAAGTAGTTCATTGGTAGAATTATTGATAGTGATTTTTTTTATTGAAATACTATATAAAACCTTTTTTTTGTTCTGTGACTGTTCCCGTTTTACACAGAAATCCTTGTCAATGTCCTTGTCATTGTGGAGCACCATAATTATGGCAAATTTAAAAAATTTCATTATATTCTCTGTTTTAGTGCCATCGCCACCGGAACGATTGACTGTACGTCAGGTGATCGGCAGTCGAGTGCAACTACTTTGGGACCCACCAAAGAACCCTCAAGGGGTAGTACAGTACTACACTGTGTACTACGCCCCGCCATTGCCGCCAATACAGAACAATATCGTAGCAACCGACTCTAAGACTATGGCCGTAACTATTAAAGGATATTTCAAGCCGCTCAACAATTACTCTTTCTGGGTGAGTTTTGTCTCTTTAAATAAATAAATACACTTGAACCCTCAAGGCGTAGTACAGTACTACACTGTGCACTACGCCCCGCCATTGCCGCCAATACAGAACAATATCGCAACCGACTCTAAAACTATGGCCGTAACTATTAAAGGATATTTCAAGCCGCTCAACAATTACTCTTTCTGCGTAAGTTTAGTTTCTTCAAATAAATAAATACACTTGAACCCTCAAGGCGTAGTACAGTACTACACTGTGTACTACGCTCCGCCATTGCCGCCAATACAGAACAATATCGTAGCAACCGACACTAAGACTATGGCCGTAACTATTAAAGGATATTTCAAGCCGCTCAACAATTACTCTTTTTGGGTAAGTTTAGTTCCTATAAATAAATAAATACACTTGAACCCTCAAGGCGTAGTACAGTACTATACAGTGTACTACGCCCCGCCATTGCCGCCAATACAGAACAATATCGTAGCAACCGACTCTAAGACTATGGCCGTAACTATTAAAGGATATTTCAAGCCGCTCAACAATTACTCTTTCTGGGTAAGTTTAGTTCCTTTAAATAAATAAATACACTTGAACCCTCAAGGCGTAGTACAGTACTACACAGTGTACTACGCCCCGCCATTGCCGCCAATATAGAACAATATCATAGTAACCGACTCTAAGACTATGGCCGTAATTATAAAAGGATATTTCAAGCCGCTCAACAATTACTCTTTCTGGGTGAGTTTAGTTCCTTTAAATAAATAAATACACTTGAACCCCCAAGGCGTAGTACAGTACTAAACTGTGTACTACGCCCCGCCATTGCCGCCAATACAGAACAATATCATAGCAATCGACTCTAAAACTATGACCGTAACTATTAAAGGATATTTCAAGCCGCTCAACAATAACTCTTTCTGGGTGAGTTTTGTCCCCTTAAATAAATAAATACAAATTTAACCCTCTTATTCAAAATTGAGAAGAAAGTACCAAGGTTAAGTTATGCAGTGGTTTATTCACACACAAATTAGATTTGTAATTCGATGAAAGAATGTAATGAATGAAAGTTGTACTGTATTTTAAACCATGTTAAGGCAATTTTTTTACATCATTGGTTTCGGTTCTGGCATGATTCTCTCATTTAATCAATTTAACTTAATAACAGTGTCCTTGTCATAATCTATACAGAATGAAAAAGAAAGACTGATTTTAAATTTAGTTTTAATTTTAGATTTTCATGTCTGAATCGACACTGTTATCATCGTGATAAAATGTAAATTGTGGTGCTCATGCTACGGGGACACAACTTACATTATAACACGTATTTTTTTCGCTTTTTGACTGTAAAACTCCATAGTAATTTGACAATTGGCCGAAATAAAAACGAGCTATTCTCGGTGCTCATACTAGGAGGGCAGGTGTCAGGCAGGACAGAATTTTTTCTAGTAAAATTTTGTGTTGAAAAATCTAAATCAAGCAGTTTAATGCTGAAACAAAAATATTATAAATAACGATTAATAACTATTCTATAAATCGAGCTATTTCATGCTTAAAATAAAGTGAGTGTGTATGTTTGTTACTTCACGTCTAAACGGCTGGAGCGATTTTAATAAAATTTGGTAAGGAGTTACCTGACATCCTGGATTAACTCATAGGCAACGTTTTACTGCGTGGAAATATTCCTAATCAACAGCGGGTAACACCGCGGGGCACAGCTAGTATATATTAAACTACGATTTATAGATATCATGTTCTTCGTACAGGTGACTGCTTCAAACCATGCCTTCACATCTAATTCGTCAGAGGTGTCGAACATCACTTTCGAAGATAGCGGCGACGTCGACGATCTTGCCAACGTTAGCTTATCTCGCCCCACTCCTACCTCAGTCTATTTGTCATGGCATAAGATACGCGGCGTAGAAGGATATAAGGTGCAAGTTCGCTTGCCGCTCAACTACGCTAAAAGAGATGTCGTGGAAACGAAGGAATGTAACGTCACTCGTAAGTGCTGCTATTTCATATTATTTTATATTCATTCCAAATTTCATATAGGTTTTGCTCTTTTTGAAGTGAAAATTCTTGAGGCACGCTTGACTTGGGGGGTAAACTGGCAAATGCGTTACGAGTTACGCGTTACGATTAGTGTCACCGGTGACTCATCGGTAAACATAAACAAGATAAATATCTACGTAAATTTTTAACCTCGATTAGCGACAAAGTGGCGTTATTGTATAAGTTGCACCATTCAAGTGAATGATCTCAAATTCAAATCACAGATATGAAATTTCATTTTTAACCTTTTTAGGGTTCCATACCTCAAAAGGAAAAAACGGAAACCTTATAGGATCACTTTGTTGTCCGTTCGGCCGTCCGTCTGTCAATAACGTTTTTCTCAGGAACGCGCGGAGGTATATAAAACTGAATAAATCATATCTTATACTCAGGTCTACTGTCCCTTGGAGCTGTGAAAAAATTAAACTTCGAAGCCAAAGCAATCAAAAGATACAGCCGTTTAAGCAACAAACCGCAAATTTTCGAAACTCGCACGGGAATCAAAACCTACAGGGTACTTGCCGTGAACTTAGAATCTTGAAATTTGGTACGAAGTAACGTCTTATAGTACAGATAAGGGAAAAATTGCGAAAACCGTAAATTTTTAGTTACATCATATAATAAAAAATATACTTAAAAATTCAGGTTTGTACGGAGGCCTCGGTGCGCGGGTCCGACTCGCACTTGGCCGGTTTTTTTTAATGAGAGTTCTTATAAAGAAGTCAAAGTCCATACAGTTTAGTCCGATCTTGCCAACGTTAGCTTATCTCGGCGAACGCCTACTTCACTTTTGGGAATTTTGCCATAAAAAGACGAAGTCTTTATATACAATTTAGTCCTATTCATTCTTGTTTTTTAAGTCTTGTATTATAATACAATAAGACTCTTCCATCTAACTAAATTCGTGTATATTTTAGTGATTTAACAAGTTATTCAGTTGTGTCGACTGTCTTAAATGTCAGCCACAAATTATACTAATTGGTATCACTATATCGACTATAAAATAAAACGAAAATATTAATATGTTAATAATAAGGTTATATGATTGTACTTTTAATTTGTATTTAATGTATGTGTATACAAATTTCCAGCTGATATTTTTTTAATCATTTCAGTTCTTAGTCTTTCTTTTAAATAGCATTTGAATAAGGCAGCATATCGCTTTGTTCAGCATTTAATTTAATTGTGTTATCCCCATAATGTACGCTATTTTGAAATAAAACATAAAACATACACCCAAAAGATAACGAATCTAACATCCTAATAACTGCCTAAATATTTCAGTGAACGACCTCCCGCCCGGAGTATCGCTATACATCGACATTCGCGCGTACAAAGGCCCCGTCGTAGGGGATCCGTTCACGATTCCAACCACCACAGGCGGAGAGCCAGACGAGACATTAAACTTGACCGCTATACTGCTCAAGGATAAAGCGACTTCGGTACAGTTGTTCTGGTCGCCGCCCAAAGGGGAGAGGTACAAGAATAAGTCGCTCAGCTACGAAGTGCACTACGTAAACGTGTTGAATAGAATGCGATTGGGAGAGCTCGCCAATGGTTAGTATATAACATGTGTACGTTTTAATTCTTTTAAAATAACAATTTGGCCTTTTCGAATACTGATTTGAAGTTATTGTTTTTCATTCGAAAAAGTAATTTTGCCTATGTAAATAAATATTTCTAACACTCACATCAATTAGCTTAGCCTCAAAGTAGAGCACTGTAAGGCTTGTGTTATGGTATACCGTAGTATACCAATTTGGCACTTCAAGCTCCTCGCTCCATGGCTGTGCGCTGCCGCAGCTGCACTCGGCAGGGTCCTCCCAAAAGTGGGGAGACCAGGAGATGCGTGCCGTCGACTGTGTCACGGGGTGATAAGGTCGGTGGCACTTTATGGAGCCCCGGTTTGGGCAGAGTGCCTCAAACCCCGCACGGTCGCCCTGGCAGACGTGCATCGAGGTTGGGTTGAAGCCAGGAAGCGGGGTGAAAGACTTGACCATTCCATCGCGCAGGCAGAGGCCTTGCGGCGATGGGATGAGGCGTTCGTCCATGTAAGCGCCGGCCACCGGACGATTGAGGCCATTCGTCCGTCCGTGTTGGAGGAGCATAGGCAGCCACTGCGGGGGCTCGTAAGTCTTGCGGGAGCCAGGTGTGAGGTCCGTTCGGCGGTATGCCTGTTATAGACGCCGGTCGCCTGTAAACAGAGGATTTGCCTGCGTCACAAAAGAAAATACTTAGTTCATATATAAAATTTAAATTCCATTTACGTCTGTTATAGTCGGAGAGCCGGCTGTATTAAAGTCCTATGGATCAGATGAATCATTTTTGGCGTATGAACAATAAAGCCATAGGTCTAGCGGTCGACATCCCTGAAGTTGCTTGATTTTGCAAATTATGACGTCACTTCCGGTTTTTTATTTTAGGTGTAATTGTAATTTATCAAATACATCAGGAAAATATATGGCGAACGAAAGTTCTTGATGAGTAGAATAGAATAGGCCCTCAAAAGAGCCTTTTCCCTATCTGGTCCCACCTGACCCCAGACGCGCATCGGACCGGCATCGCGGGACAGGTCTCCATGGCTGATCGGATGTGGGCTTACACGGCTTGCTGCATCCGCAACCCTCCCAGGCTGAGGGGTCGTAGTCCAGTCCGGTCTTCCTCAAGGGCGCCGGTTCCCAGTTTTAAGCCGAGGCCACATCGTCGCATGGCTCCCCTGTGCGGCAACTTAGGTCATCGTCTTCATCAGGGTCCAACCCTCTCTTGGCCCTGAAAAGGGCCCGTTCCCTTCTGGCCCTGAAAAGGGCAACCTTCCCGTGCTGGTTTTGGTTCCTGCCGGCCGTAGGCGGTAACCTCCATATCTGAAGGCCGTGTCCCTATCTTAAATTTCTTTCAAATTTTTTTATAATAACTGTCTTATTATTCGTACAGACACGAAGATAGTTACTGCTAAGACCAGTATGCAGTTGGACGGTCTGGATTCGTGCGCGAGTTACGTGTTCGCAGTGGGATTACTGGGTGGCCCGTTGTCTAGGTTCACAGAAGTTCTTACCAGAGAAAACCCTAAGTAAGTTGTTATAAGTGCTATAATTGAACTGAATCTGAGGCCCAAGCACGAATTTTGATGGCATCATACAGTATCGTCATCGTGAAATTTTGTATGGAAAAAGCTAGTTTGTTCTAATGTCGCATATATCCGTCCGCTGCGATGATGTGATACGATTATGGAGCTGCCAAAATTCGTGCTTAGATCTCTGTTTACTATAACTTACAAACATGCTGTACCCTTAGCACGAATCAATATTGAATTCGAATAGTTGCGAGTGCGAAATGTGAATGTCAAAATTTGTGTGGAAACCTATCAACGGCGCTATAATGTACGTAACGAAAACCTGAAAATAAGTACACATTTGACAATAAAATGTCAGACTCGCAAACTATTCCAATTCGATATTGGTTCATGCTAAGGGTACTGTAACCAAAACAGGTAATATTTAAAAAATATGTTTTTGTCACTAACTAAACTACCAAAGTTTCTGGGCTCCAATATATCTATTATTTTTTTAAGATAGAACGCGTTTTCCCTAGTTAAAAATAGTTTTTACTAAATGCCTTTGTTAAAACTCAAAATAACTAGTCAAAACTAGAATTTACTTTGAAGTTTCAGATAAAACTAGTTGTCACTCCGAGGTTTAGTGAAAACTAGCACTAGAGAAACTAATTTGGGATTGAAAACAAGATATAGTTTTGAAAAATATTTATTAAAAAGATATAGGACACAGAGTCTTATCGTCACTTGTAATATGAATTACCGTAACCGCGAAAAGCCAATTTTTCAGGAGGGGCAAAAAAAATTTTGAATAAAATATAGTTACGATGAACTTTGAGAACAGTTTTAACTGACTCGCTTCGGAAAAACGCGTGTTGTCCTGTAAGAACTAGTTTAGACTGAAATTCCATTTTGAGCATTAGTTAATTCTAGTTTTAACAAAGGCATTTAATAAAAACTAGTTCTGACTAGGGAAAACGCGTTCTATCTAAAAACTGGTTTTAACTGTAACATATGCAAAACAACACTAGTCCTACAGACATGACGCTATTACAGTTCATCATCAGCCTATGAGTGTCCCCACTGCTGGGGCACAGGCCTTCCCTATGGATAGAATAGGGACATTGGGTCGTGACGTTATTGGCGTTTATATATTATTAAATCTATCCACAGGCCGGGTTTAATAAATTTTGTAAATGTTTCAGATCTCCAGTGAAGAATCTGCACGCGGACTACGATGAGAACACAAAGAAACTCAACATACAATGGAATGCCAATTGTGACGTTCTCAGCGATCACGTCACATATATGGTGAGTTTCTATTAGTTTCTATAGTGTATTCAAACTTATATGCACCTATGCGGAGGTTTCAGTTCAACGAAACTTTAGATATATGAAACCCGCGTGCACCTACATTTCGTTTACTGCACCGCGACTTGCGCTAACTTCATTGAAGCTTCCATTAAATTTGAATTGGAGTATTATTTCATGTTTTCTATGTATTTTTTTTCTATAGTTGGATATCACTGAATTGACACAAGATATAACCAGTAGTTACGAGCTGTTGCCCACGAAGAATACGACGTTCAGCCACGTGATAGAAAATGTTCATCTCGGCGGTAGATTTAATATTTGTGTGCAGGTGAGATACTTTACTTGTCTATTGGTGTAATTCTTGTGTTCGGACATAGGATTTCATGTTAGAATTTCTCATCTTATCTTTCAAGTCAAGTAATAGGGAATATGTATGATTTAACATTCTCATAATAAGGTATAAAAAATTCAACGCCGAAAAAATAGGGTCATGATAATATGTCTAAAAGACATTAAAAGTAGCCACTTTGCATAGGCATTTTAAACGATCGCTATTTTTTAACTCTAGGTGTGACGTCACAGTCCATAGCAACCTAGCAAGATAACAAACAAGTCCACAGTTAGATAAGGAGGTTAGATGCATCAGTATGTTTCTGTCAGACACAACCATTTTATTAAGTTTTCGATATTTGGATTTCGTGTAAGTTTCTCGCAGATTTCAATAATAATTCCTTGCTCAAATTATTTTTTAAATTTGATGAAGGGACAATTCAAATGTAATAGTGTTTATATAAAAAAATGCCTTATTTCAATTACATGCATATTCCCTATAAGCCTTTCACGCTGTACTGCGTGTCAAAGAAAAGATAACACTGCCAATAAAAGAAAGTGAATTTATTATATGCAGAAAATGAAGTAGATTATTCCGTTATTGTTACAGATAGTTTTCTGCTAAGGGCCTCTAAAATTAATCACATTTATTTTGTAATAATATTTTTGCAAGTTGCATTAACATTCTTAAATCAAATGAAGTGTAAATTCTATTTAATACATCTCTGTCAATTGTTTAATGTGAAATAGAGAGACAGAATAAGGCTTGAACACGGTTTTCTAATTAGATTTAAGTTCTTTGGTGCAAATGGGTCAATAGATTTCTTTGCTTGGACTACAATATTCCTTTTGTTTTACTCTCAGTTCGTGTTATTGTTAGAGCTATATTGAGTGGTCGTGTGTTTTCTCAGGCGAAAGTGCCCGATTCTGCTCGTCGCTGCGCTTCCGCACGCAGCGGTATAGTGGCGCCACCTACCGGCGTAGTGGCGTGGCGCTCCCCCAACGGGCACGTGATGGTGCACTGGCAACACTCGCGGCCCCCCACCCTCGACAAGTGAGTGCTGTTTCAAACTTTCAGTAAGCCCACTCTATCGATGGAGCAGCATAGAGGTATAAGAATAGAGTATGGGAGATATAGACTCTACTACAAGTGGAAGTGTCCCTCTAATAGAAAGAGAAAGAAGATGAGAAACCGCTAGCTTTCTCTCTTTAATTGCGCATGCGCATTGGCAACTGTAAGCATCTTACTAATTCGATGTGATGCCATCAGCATCAGCCTATTAATGTGTCCACTGCGTGGGCACAGGCCTTCTCTATGAATGGAATAGGGCCTTCGACCTATCTCGGATCCCACTAGGCCTGTGTTATTTCTATTACCTCCCTCCCTGCCAAGGCAAGGTTATCACCTTGCTATCGCAACATAATTTTAATTGGGCACAATAATGTGATTTGTTTTCTACCAAATAAATTCTTTTGATTTCCGAACCCACTACCATTACTTGCGACCCCTATCGGCCGCATAGCCGCAGGTACCGCCAGTACTGTGCTCGGAGATGTGGCGCACGCAGGTGCGTCGGCCCCGAGACCGCCCCCATATGGGCGTAGGAGGGTACCAGGGGGTTTTAGTGGAGTAGGACCAGTGTGGCCTTCCGCACTGGTCATGCTTGAGTAGGGTCGGCACTGTTTCCCGTGCCGGCGAGTCCCACACACGCCGTGCGTCTAGTCAGCGTCACGGTATGGTGCGTAACTGCATTTCCCCTCGTCACAAAAAAAAAGAAAAGGTACCGCCAGTACTGCCACCTACAGGTGTTGTGGTGTAGCAAGTACCAGTGTTAGCAAGAACCTGCTTTAAGTAGCTCGCTATGAGCTAAGTTTTTTTCTTCTTCTTTCAGGTAGATTAATACGGTTTACGCCGGGTTTCATGGTGTCGCCGACTCGAGAGGTCCTGGGTTCGAATCTCGGTGGGGGCAGATGTTTGTGATGAATACGAGCATTTGTACTCCAGTCATGGATGTTTAATATGTATTTCTATATAAATATACTTATATATGTACAGTATATATATATTGTATCCATTACCCTAGTATCCCATAACACAAGCCTTATTGTGCTTACTTTGGGGCTAGGCTAATTGGTGTGAGTGTTGGAAATATTTATTTACTATTTATTTATGTTCTTTTTTCACATAATCAGACCATTAAATGTTTTTTTTTCCATTACCCTCCAAATGGTTTCTATACTGGGGTACTGTAGTCATTGCCATTTAAAGACCTAATATTACCAAATTAAAGTACCTCTTTTAACCAGATAACTTTCAAGAAGCCCGCTTTATAACAACCATTTTAACTTTTTAAACTATTCACTTTTTCCACAGCCATGACAAATATCAAGTCATAGTATCAGAAAAGGAGATACCAGAAGATTTGCTTCATCCCACTGAAGACATGAGGACAGCTATGGCTGAGTTCGCTCCGTTACTGATGACGTCACCGGAAGGAAGCGGCGACTTATACGTGAGCGTACGAGTCGTCACCGAACAAGGATACTTTAGCGATTTGAGCGAAGTTCACACACTTCAAATGTCCGGTTAGTATGTAAAGCTTACAAAATAGTCCTTAAACTGGAAAGCTTTGTGTTCAATAGACGAAGAATTACGATACTAGATATGCATAATTCGTCTCATTAAAGAAAGGAATCGAAAATGCCGATGCAAGACATCCTGCCTCTCTCGCTCGATTCTTAGGATAGCATGTACGAGAGAGACAGAATTTCTTACGTCGTCGTCATTTGTGATTCCACTCTTTGATGACATGAGTGTTGACCAAATTGACCAAAATAATTTCATCTTATTTACAATTTTACATACATTCTTTGCCTCACTGGCTTTCATCATTTCTACGCCATTTCAAGTGTTCAGTCACCGTCTAAAATTGTGCTTTTATCATTATTTATTCTTCTTCTTCTTCATGTTCTTTCAAATTACTGAAGGTACTGAGGGAAATCGGTCCTTGAAAACTTTGCTTTGTCCCTGGCGATGTGATACAATGCAGCGGCGCTCTTGACTCCCAATTGTACCATTATTTATACCGTACTTTTGTTTTAGGCGCTGAAGCCGAAACCGCTAGCGCGTCAAGCGCCATCTGGTGGGGCATAGGCGGCGCTGCGATAGTAGGCGTCGCCTTAGGCGGAGCTTTATTGCACGCGCTAATAAGGCACCGTAGACTGGCGCGATCCTTCCTCAGATTCACTGCGCACACGCCGCGATACGACAGCCGGCGTGGGCAGGCCACCATCGGAGACCACGGTGAGTGATGCCGACGCTTTTTTTAAATTTTTTTGAGTGTGTATGCTGTTTGTCGCAGCTGACCTTTACGGCGTCACTGGGTTTGGGGACGGCGAGATCCTAATGGGACCTCAAGCAGAGAATTGGCGAGTGCCTCTAGAGGTATTCCAGGCGGATGGCATTCTCCTTTTCGTCTGGAGCCTCTAGACCACTCGGAACCTGAGGGGGTGAGCTCAACTAGAGGGCGTCTCTGAGACTCGGACCCCGCCTCTAGTTAGCCGTTGTCGTGGGGGATGCCGACGCTCCAACGTCAGTACCCCTAGCAATAATCGAACCATAATCGAATTCGAATAGTCGTAATAGTGTTGCAAACCGAAATGTTAATGTCAAATTTTGTATGGAAACTTGAACAGCAGCGGCACAAAGTACGTAACGAGAACTAAAAATCAGTACACATTTGACAATGACATTTCCGACTTGCACACGATACGAATTCGATATTGGTTCGTGCTAGGGGTATTGAACACAGTGTGCCGTCTCTGTGAGGCGCCGAGGCGAGAATATAATCAGCTCGAGTTAATAAGTTAAATTTTTGATCACCCATCAAATTTTCGACCATTGCGAAAGTTACTTACCTAACAAATAAGTTTGTATAAACAATATTTTAAAAATTTTCCAGACGATGACGACGTACCTCCAATCCAAGGGTTCTCCGATGATGAACCGTTGGTGATAGCATGATCGCCGCACCAGCCTTGTGATGAAACCGTGATCTTGTCATAAAATAGTATTTTAAATAAATATATTTGTTGTACCGCAGACGTGCGCCCCTAGCGAATTTCTTCATAACAATTTATTAGTCATTAATCCCCTTACTACAAAAGGAGGACTAAAGTTAAACTTGGTTTAAACCTAATGTTGTCTTTGTCATCTTTTCAGCAAACAAAAGTCACAGCATCTATTTAAGTCTTGATTAAACTTTAGTGTACGTTTTGTGGTAAGGCCAAATGTGTCGTCATATTATAATAAAGGGTGATTGAAATTTTAACGATTTTCAAATAAAAAAAAAATAGGAAATGCTCAGTAAGAAAAAAATTAAAATTTTGTGTTACTTTAACAATATTTATTTTTTGCTTTAAATTTAGTATAATTTTGAGAATCGTTTCGATTTCCGTTAGCTTAAATGTATACTAGAGACGTGAAAAGGGTACATTTTTTTACTATAGCACAGCACGACCTCATAATACGAACTCGGAAAACTTACTCCTCTATAGAATTCATGGAGCGTTCGGATTATGGTTTATGGTATGGAGAATTTATAAGAGTATTTTTTTAAAAACAAAACTAATACTATTGTGTAATTGCGAGAGATATCAAGCGGTCTCTCATCTTTTTTCTCTTTCTACTAGACGGACACTTTTGGAGCCGCCTTCCCTACTCTATTCTTATACCTCTATGTTTGTCTGGCAATTTACCTAAAAGCATTTTTTCTGGCAAAGAAATATGGAGGCTGTGGGACATTCGGATTACAGAGGTATTCGGTTTAGAAAGGGTTCGATTATCGAGGTCCTGCTGTATTTAAAAGCCGACACAGACTAAATTATTCGTTATCAATGTTATTATTTAAACACGCTAGAGTATTATTATGTTATGAAAATGTCTATATTTAAGTTGTTGTAGGAAAAATTGTTGTATTTTTAGTACACCAAACAGAACGCTTGGGTACGTACACCATATATTATACTATTTTTTTATATTTATGTATGTATGTAACTAACTATGTAGTACCAGAAGCTAGTTCAGTGTGTCAACGAGTCTTAAAGTTAATTATTAAAAAAAAGACATTCATGCTTGCTCATTTTTTTATTTGTAGGATGTAAACAAACTCGTGTGTTATTATTATAATCAAGTTCGACACCAAAGATCTATGAATAAGTACATTGTTAATTTAAATATCTAAGGTCCGTGTTGAACTTTATGTGAGAAAAAATATGTAAAGGATCTCTTCATTCCCTATTTCGATGTTTATACTTAGTTTTTAGTTATTGCTTAGTTCCTAAAGAAAAATTTTAGCCGCATCATTTGTATTTTTTTTTCTGTGTAAAATTGTATGATTTTTTTCATTCCAACCGTTAAGGAGGTTGGATTAAACCATTAAATATGAAGAAATTTAAAAATAAAACTTATAAACATAAAAACATAGTTTTTTTTTATTAGTAAAGTGCATAATAGTTAAGAATCTCTACACCAATTTTGCAACAACAAAATCTAGAGTTTGTTTCTGATCCAAAGCTACATTAATTGTCTTATTAAGATGAAATTAATTTCAATCTGGATAAACTTATATTAAATAAAGAAAAAAAAAACATCACAAAACAATAAGTATGAAAATGTTAGTATTTTTTTTAAAAAAGAACATAAATATTGTTTTGTAATTTAATATAGCATGTGCGCAAATTTTTTAATGAGTCTCAATAACAGTCTGAGCTGCTGCATATTGCAGATACAGAAGGGACCAACAGCTTGACGTGCCTTCCGAAGCAAGGTGGAGCTCGAGATAATCAAGTTTTTGGTCACCCATCCTATGACTGGCCATTGCAAATGTTACTAAACTTACACCATCACAAACCGAACGCACTAACCACGCTTCGACTACTAGTAAGTTATAGGAAGCTTAAACATGTAATTGCTAATTGCATATATGTTGATTAGGTAAGTATAGAAAAGGAGTTTACCTTACCTAAAGACATCATTTACCAAACGAAAATTAAGCTTGGTTTCGTTACGCAGTGTTATTTTTGTTCATCGAATTACAAATGTTATATTATCTAACTTTTGTGGTAGGTGGTTAATATTGGGATTTAAACTATGGCGACTGCGATGTGAAGTACGAGCGCTAGTCCAGACAGTAAAACCCTAAATATTTATTCATGGTAAAACCCCGAGTGTACATATCTCCATTTTCTTTACTGCGCACGAGTTGTATTCGCACTTACAAGTCCAAGCTAAGTCTTTGTTTACTAATGAGGCAGTGATAATTAGTTCACTTAAATTAAGTTGGCAGTTACAAAAGGTTACATATTACCAAAGAGTACCCCCACTAGAAACCGCGTGCTAGGGCAGCCGCTTGTGCCAAACTTAAGAAGAATTACTGCATAAGCTTGTTACACGCCCCCAAACGTCGACCAACGGCAATACATCGTTTCATTAAATTTGTCATCAGACCGTGACGTCACCAATCAGAACGCAGCTCACTCCTTGCAAGCCGCCAATTGTGGCGATTTCGCTTTCAAACAAAATCTGAGTAATGCGGACACTAGTGGGGTGTGCTCTGTGGTCATAACGTTTCAAAGTAGTCTTTCAGTTAATATTTAAATCTTGCATCGCCCGGAGAAGCCAGTCGTGTGCTGGAATGAGCACGATCGCATTGTCTCTGTAAACGGCGACCCCCACAGCAGTGGCGCGCCCTTCTATGTTGCATATTAACGAGCCACCAATTCCTGTCTGAAAATAAGTACTTAGGTTTTGATTTGTTTTAATCCTTTAATCGTCAGCAGAATCAGCTGGTGATTCAAGTCATTCAGACATCTAACACTGTAAGGACGTAATGAATATTTAATAAATCCTTAAATATACTAAAGTACTTAGACGACAACCAAGTGCGATTGAATGTCATTGTCAATTCAAATTGTTTATTACAGACAGCAAAATGGTCCATCAAATTGTTTGTAACAATATTTAACTTAAATGCTGTGTTAGTTTAAATATACCTCTATTTTTAGGATTCAATCAATGTGTGTTTTTTAAAAATTAAAATTGTATTATAAATGATATAAAAAGTAATCTAAACCAAATGTCCAACCAAAATGAACGTATGTTAATTAATATTCTACATTTAAAGTCATATAATTAGAATGTCGTGTAATGTAATTTAATGTCAAACAATTTAAGTGAATTTATATAATCATTTAATAGTTAATGTCATATTTATTTATTTAATGTTCTAATATGGACAGCATGTCATTGCATCCGCGTGGTATAAAAAGCTATTAAAATTGTAAAATTGCCAATTAATCTTACCACGGTACCCCGTGATTGAACGGTGGCGCAGAATGCGTCGCTTGGCAGCGACATCGGCTTGGAGAACTGATTGGTGCAATCTTGGGAAGATATCAGTGATGTTTTCTGCCACCAAACGCGTTGACGCACAGCTAATAGAAAATAATAAATTATAAGGTAACTTACAATGCAAGACAATATACATATGGGATATACTGATATCATCTTTCTAGTGTATATTTTAGAGGGTTAATCCTTCTTTCTTTATGGTCAGGGTTGCACAAAAAAATTAACCAAAAGTGCAAAGTTATACAGGTCGTGGTTGTAGGCCACAATCTACCACCAAGTGACGGGCTCAATACAGACAGGTAAAAGGGTCATAATGGTGAAGAGAATCCAGACTTATAAGGCAAACTGATTTCAAAACATTTCCAAAGAATAGTTGCATTATGAGTATAGGCATAGATCGCAGAAGAAATGAAAGACTACAAGGTATGGTTTGCTTAAATGGAGATAAAAAATAAGGCACATTTTGAAAATTACCAGAATTGAGGGAAGGTTATAGCAATCGTAATTACGGTGAAGTTTCGGGATAGGATGATTCCTATTTCATCTTCTTATCCTGGGGTAGTTACATTGTGTGGGTTGTTTTAAAGTGTTAAGTAATATCATAATTAATGCCATACCTTGATCGAATCCGCTCCAACCATAAAACTTACAGTCCTCTGTATCACGAGCACTCGAAAGGCATGCTGGTTGCACTTTCACATTAAATTGGAGAGGGCTGTTCCAGTGCTGATTGAAACAGAATTATTTTATTAACAAAATTGTTCAAATGATGCTTCATTCTACTTGTTTGTTTTCGTTCCATTTCATTGGCGAATATAAATTAATAGGTTTTGAAGTCACTAAAGGTTTGTGTTAGAGTATTTTTTTTAGTGATTCCCACCCACACATCGCTGGTTCATATTCTGCGCGAAGGACCAAAAATGTGTGTTGTTTCAGTACACTTAATGTTTTGCTAGAAGATGCTAAAAAAAGTATTATACTGTACTGAAACAGCGCTGAATTGTCAACATGTCATTTCATAATGCTTATGACTATTACAAAAAAAACACACGTCAATGTCTTGACTATTTAAAAAGCATAAATGATGTGCAGTTTTTGAGGAGGCTTACCAGAATAGCAAGATTGTGAGCCAAAATCGCACGTCTCCATTGAGGGTGTAAATGAATGGTTACTAAACGGTTTTGTGTTTCTGATCGCTCCTTAATATCAGTCAAGCCGGTGACTATAACTAAAATATCTTTATCAGACGTCGTGATAGTGTACCTAGAAATAAGAAAAGGAATATTAAATTAGCTAGACATACATGGGCACCATCAGGATCATTTCTAAAGGAGTGCATCTACATCTACACATATACCTACATTACTACCTAATTCACCAATAAAAAAATAAAATATTGCAAAAGACATATTTTTTATATATTCTGTGTGTAATTAAATGCATACATTCTTTATATATTTTCTATTATAATTTTTTTATAAACATCATTTTTTTTATTGCTTTCGAAGGCAAACGAGCGGGCGAGCTACCTGATGTTAGGTGGTCACCATCGCCCGAGGACATCCGCAATGCCATTATAACAGCCATGCCGTTGCCTTTCATAGAATACTTTTTTAGGCTGTCTTGAAGAGGGCCATGATGTTATTGTATTGAGAGAACACCCTGAAGTGAAGCTTATTATATTTCCGTAATTTTATTGTCCGTAGAAGAAAAGATCTTTGGTAACGAACAGTCGTGGATTTCAGTGTTTCCAAGTAATAAGGATGTACTCGACTCCGATGATGGTTGGTGTGATAAAATGGTGAATTGCGTATGAACTGGAACAATTCCTCGGAATGCTCAACTTAAAAGTCCCTTTAGAATACGCATAGGCAACCGAAGTTCTTGCGCAGTTCTAAAGGCTCCAGATTTTCCGCTGGCTAGAGATCATAGACAATCCGAATCGCGCTTTATGTATAGAATTTAGGGGTTGCAAGTCCACCCCTTCTGGCGCGGCGGCGCCCATGTAGACATATTTTAAACATTGCTTGTATAGCTATAATAGGCTTGTGTCAACTAACAATAAATCGAATGGGTTACAGTTTCTAAATATGAATTATGATATACAAATAACAAAAAATAAAGCTATTTATCATAATAATTATAGATTATCATTATTTTTTGAAAATAAATTCGAATAAAATAGGCATTAGATCACGTGACGGCAAACACCAATCAGAAAGACTGACGTCACCACGTGCAAAACATTTCTTGTGTTTGCCGTTTTTATACATTTCATTGATATCTCATTCATGTTATTGTTACATTGATACAATTTATCAGTTTGTTTTCATATAATTAATGAAAGAAAGCCTAATAAATCCATAGAATTGGGATTTACCGAAGCAAATAATACCTAATATTTTAACCAAAATAAAAAAAATCATCGCTTAACTACTCGACATAATTAAGCATATCATTTGGCAACTAGAACAAGAATAAGAAGTGTTTATTATTATGAATAAATATACTGAACTCTTAAATAGACTCTAAACCATACCATAAAACTAAATACACTTACATAACCTCAACCTATTGTCATTGTTTTATAAATTTAATGCAATATAATTTATCCGGCTTGTATAACATTTTGATTTCATTGATTATGTTATGCAAAATACTTACATCAAAATGTTCATCACAAAATTATTCTTGTATTTGTTGATAAACAATGATGGGTACCATCCTTGCAAGTTCTAACCATTTTTTTCGCATTTGTGGCATATAAATAATTTGTCTGGCGTTTTATGCTTCTCCTTTTACACTATGACACTATACAGTACTTATAATACGATGGATTCATTTTTAACTAAATAATTTTAATAGTCGGCGTACAGCGTATTGTTTGCTTTGCACGGCGTGACGTCATTCAAGACGCCATGACAGTCTCGAGCGTTTTCGAGGTAAATTTGAATAAGTTTTTTAAAATACAAAATACATATTGCTAATGTACTTTTTTATTTAAAATAATATTTTTTTGGGGTTAAATAAACATCAAGGTATATTATTAACCACTTTTTAAAATATAGGCAACTAGCCTATTTCTGTTATTTTCGCCAGCGCACAAATATTTTAATCGATGTTGAACCATATATAGATCAATTAATTAATTTAAGGAATTTGTGTTTTTGTCAGTGAGTAAAGTTCAGGAAGTTTCCCGGGCTAAGGGATCCACAATGTAAGAAAGTTCGAGAGAAATATTTTAAGAACACATCAGCTATAACTTAAAGTAACAGATGGGTTGAGGCAATTTACTTTGCCCGGATATAATAATATTATTTGAATGTAAAGAAAATTTTCTATAGATTTAAACATCTAGCAGATTCATGCTTTAAAAAATAATAATAATATCAATATTTTTTTTGAATAACACATACTCAGTAACGCAGTCTCCAGCCGTGATTGCCATTCGGGGATGGACGATCGTCGCGTAGCATAAAACGTTTTGTGGTCTTCTTGATGGTACTATTATAGCCAAAAAAGGATATGAGCCACTTTCCGCTTCACTCAGTTCATTTTCTGTGAAATGAATATAAGTAAAGGCAATGGCATTAAACTACGTTGATCTCCTACGGTGAGTGATGTTTCCAATAAACGCGCACAGTACGACAAAAGGCCTCTGTTGAAGTTTGTTCAGGGGGGCGATTTACAGTTTTATAGATATTGGTGTATTGACCCTTAACCGAGATGCAAATTTTGAGTCTCTTGAGTCTTAAGGTATGGAGCCAAGAAATATAATTTACTAACGGTTGGAACACATCCGTTCCTTTACGCTCACCTCCAATTTCTTCTTTCTTATGTTGGTTCATCGATGTTTTGCCGCAACGCCTGTAAACTTGTTCTCCATCTGGACTTTTATTATCTAAACTTTCATTGCTGTCGTTTTCTACACTTGACTTGGTCGTGCTTCTCTTCGAATTCTTCATGTAAAATTTGTTTTTAGGCCGCCCCAAGTTTAAGAGCTTAAATCCTTGTAACACATGAAAATTAGGGTTCGATTGGAAATTTACTTTTTGGCTTTCTACATCAAGCGTTGTCTCTTCTTCTGGTAGTTCTGTTGTAATTTTAGTGGGTCTTCTCCTTTTTTGAGATTTAGACAGCAATACTGGAAAATATACAATACAATACAATACAAAACTCTTTATTTTTACACCACAGAAAACATAAAACATGAAGTACATAATTAAAGAATACAGTGTAATAATGGGCGGTCTTATCGCTAAGAGCGATCTCTTCCAGACAACCTTAGGATGGAGAGGACAGGAAAGAAGCTGGAGAGACGGCGGTGTAATTACTACAAAACAATATAAAATCATTCTAACAAATATAATCAAAATAAGTATATAAAACAATACATACATATAATTATATACCTACAAGAATACATACATAGTCATATACATAAATATATATACATACATATATATAAATATATACACAAATACATACATACCTATGTCTAATTCATTCAGCTTAGATCAACAAAAATGGAAGGGTTACAAGGACATATAGTGAGATCTAACAAGGTTTTTGAAAATGTGGAGTGATTTTGCACGTCTTATGGAAACTGGAAGAGCATTCCATAGACGAACGGCTTGTACTGCGAAAGAACGGCCATAAAAAGTTGTAGAGTGAACAGGAGTAATGAGAGCGAGATTTTCTGATGACCTAAGGGACAATGTATTCGAAGTGTGAAGGAAATTAAAACATTCCTTAAGATAGCGTGGGGACAAAGGATTGAACAGTATGTTATACAGAAGAGTAAGGATGTGCGTATTCCGGCGAAGGCGAATAGGTAGCCACTTGAGCTGTAAACGAAATTGAGATACATGATCATATTTGCGCAGGCCAAATATGAATCGAATACAGAAGTTCTGAAGCCGCTCAAGTTTATCAAGCTGGTCCTCCGTGAGATCTAGATAGCAGACGTCAGCATAATCGAGAATAGGAAGCAACAGAGTCTGTGCTAGGGAAATTTTGGTGGTAGTGGGTAGAAAATTGCGTAGTCTCCTCAGCGAAGCTGCAGAAGCAAACAGTTTACGGCTGAGCACTTGCATCTGGGGACACCAACTCATACAATTGTCAATGGTTAACCCTAAGTTTTTTACTGAGATGCTGAATGGAATGATGGTGCCAGCGAGATGAATTTTGGGGAGTGATTGCCAGTCAACTTTGGCGATCATCCTGGAGCTTCCAACAATGATACTGTTTGATTTAGCCGGATTTACCTCCAGCCCAAAAGATTTACTCCACTCCAATATTTTATCCAAATCACTGTTTGTGGCTAGCACTGCATCACCAAGTTGATCAATGGGCGCTTGTTGATAAATTTGAAGGTCATCTGCGTATAGGTGGTAGGAAGAAGTAATATTATTAGAGATTGAATTAATCAATACAGCGAAGAGAAGAGGAGATATGACGCCGCCTTGAGGAACGCCAGCAGACGTGTCACACCATGAAGAAAACGAGTCCTCAAGGCGGACACGCTGCCTGCGTCCATACAAATAACTGTGAAACCACTCAATCGCCGATGGAGATACGTTAAGTGAGCGTAGCAATCCCAAAAGAATATCAAAGTTGACAGTGTTAAATGCATTGCTAAAGTCCAACAATGTTAATACCGTAAGGAAACCGCGGTCCATCCCAAGACGTATGTCATCTGTGACTTTAAGTAAAGTAGTTGTAGTGCTGTGTCCCGGACGGAAACCGGATTGGAGAGGGTTAAAGAGATCGTGGCGAGAAAGGAAAATATTGAACTGATTAAGAACAAGGCGCTCAAGTACCTTTGATAGGAAGGGAAGAATGGAGATGGGGCGGAAATCAGCGACGGATTGCGGGCTACATTTCTTTGGCAAAGGAATAATTTGTGCTTGCTTCCAAGCTAAAGGAAAAACAGTATTAGAAATAGAGCTATTAAAAAGGAATGTTAGAACGGGGAGAATGATATCTAAGATTGGTATTAACATATTGCGACTTATGCTGTCACTCCCCACTGCATTGGATGAGATAGAAAGCACGCTCTTCTTAACGTCACATTCAGAGAATTGAGCAAAAACAAAAGGAGAGTAGTCTGGAACTGGTAAGGAAGAAAGATAATTTAAAGTATTAGTTTTATCTGAATCACTAAGACCAGAAGAAGATGAGAAATGAAGGTTTAAGGAGTTGACGTCAAAGCTACTGGGAACGGATTCTTTTCGAGGCTTACCAATTCCAAGTGACTTGAGAAAATTCCAGACTTTTGCTGGATCTTTATTATCGACTGAGACATGGATATGGCGACGTAAGGCATCCCTACACACCAAATTGCAGTGGTTACGGGCTCTGGCATAGTGAGCTTTGTTTGAGTCGGTCGGACGGCGTTTATATTTACTTTTGGCGACATCTTTTTTATGCATTAGCATTTTGATTTCCTTTGTGAGCCAGGGCGCAGGTTGGTGTTTTAGTTTAATAGGACGAAAAGGAGCATGCTTATCATAAAGTTCCGTGATAATAAGATTAAAATTTTCAACCTGATCGTCCACCGTGACCGAGTTAGTTACCGGTGACCAATCAGTGTTACGAGCGTCGAAGAGTAACGCTTCTCCATCCATACCACCAAAATTCCTCTGAAGTATAACTTTGGGTTTAATTTTAGGAGGACGAATTTTATAGGACAAGAAAATCAAGTCGTGGTAAGAAAAGGCATCTGCCGAACATTGACCGTGCTTCATCACACGATGAGGAGAAGACACAATTATAAGGTCAAGAAGTGAGGGAGTCGTGTTTGGAAAGTGATGGGTGGCGTTAAGGGGAAGAATATGTAAATTACAAGAGTTTATAATGGATTGAAGAGAAGCTGTACGAGAATCATTTTTCAAAAGACATGTATTAAAATCGCCCATAATCAAAGAATGGCTGTAAGGTGGAACCAAATCTGCCAAGAGTTGCTCAAAGGAACTGAAGAAGTTGACGTTTAAAGAGGGGCTGTAATAGACTCCGAGAAGGACTTTGGTGTGCGATAGTATAACCTCGACAAATAAATGTTCACCGGCATCAATTGGAGGAGGCTGAGCAGAGGTGCTAATTATAGTATAAGGAATTTGCGAACGTAAATAAATAGCAACTCCACCACCTCGGGAGCCAGTGCGATCATTGCGTAAAAGATTAAAACCAGGCAAAGAATACGCAGAAGAGGGTAAAGAAGGTTTAAGCCAGGATTCGGAGACTAAAACAGCATGAAGATTTTTGTGGGCTAGAGACGCCAGCATATCAGTGTGATGAGCCGGAATACTCTGGGCGTTAATGTGAACAATGTTAAAATTTTTAGGAACATCAGAAAATTCGCTATCAATGCAGTCGGAAAGAGAAGGAATACTAAAAAAACTAGCGTCAGTGCAGTCGCTAGAAGGAGACAAAGATTGGAAGGAATTATCATCATTATCGACGTCAGAACCAGACATAAAAATATATAACTATTAATATATAATAAAGTATAGTAAGAATATAATAAATACTTATATAGTGGGCAACGCAAAAAATACCCACAAAAATTTAAATAATTATTATGCTCCACCCGCCGGTTGAGTGGAGTACAGAATACGCTAACACAAAAAAAAACAATAATTAAGATACAACTGAGTATGTGCAATAAAATAATATTAAACAGTGAATGAACAACATCTAAAGAAAAAATAAATTCAAAAACTACAATAATTAAACGATATTAATCTGTGGATCCAATAAATGCTGTCACTATGTACCGCCACAAATTATAGAACAGGTCACCAAGGCCATTAACATTAGGGTAAAAAAAAAAAAAAAAAAAAAAAAACAATTATGTCACTGTCAGATAGCCTGTCATCGAGTTGTTTACAATTCCTTGGAGATTAATGAATTAAATATTTTCTTACCTTCATTGAATTTACGAAGACACGGGAAAACAAATGCATTTACGTTAAAGTAACACGGTACAAACAAAAGAGGAATCCACAGAACGAAGGGGCGAATATAATATGAAAAGAACACTGGCACGAAGCGAAAAACTTAACACTAAACAAATTGAGAAGTGATTTTAAAGTTAAATTAAACCATAAAGCTACTTTTTGCTCGCTGTATTAGCCGCACGTTTGCCCCTGGTGGGTACAGGTTTCGGTGACACGGCCCTCCCCGTAGCTGGACCTGGGATTTTGTTCAGATCGTCAACTGGTTTCGACGATACAGGGCTCATCGCTACTGGTGCAGGAATTTTGTTAAGGTCAGCAAGGGAACTGATACGATGACGTTTTCCGTCACTACCAACAACGAAGACGAATCCCATCCGCGTGAAGCATTTGCTGATTCCAAATTTCTCTCTGGCAGCTATAAAGGCGTCGTGCCTGTTTTTTGTCAAAAATTCCGATATGGTTAGACCTGTACCCTTTAATTTTGATTTGGAGTACCACATTTTATTTCGGACATCAAGATCTCGCAACTTCACCATCAAAGGACGTGGTCGGTCACCCTCAGCAGAACGACCCATTCGGTGGCAGCGATTGATGTCCCTAATGGTGAATGCAGACATCTTCAACTTACTAGTGACAGCTTCGACAACAACAGCAGCGGCATCCTCCCGAGCAGATTCTGGCAGTCCATGAAAAAGAAGTATTTTTCTCCGGCTGTGCATCTCCATGCTATCAACTTGGCGAACAAGCAGGTCGAATTGTTCTTGCAGACTACGAATTGACGACAAGACAAATGTTCTAAATGCTGTAAAATCCACAGTTAGGCTAGCAACAGTGGATGATGGAGTAGCTGCCTTAAGCTCATTCTCATAGATGTTCATGCGCTCAGTGAACATACTTTGAAGCTGCGACAAGGTATCTTGAATTGCGTCCATTTTGTTGATCAGTGAAGTGCAGTGATAAAAATTATGTTGTTGTTCAGTAACAGAGTAGATAACACTCTCCGGCAGGTATTTTGCAGTCACTATTAATTTAACATAAATAGTATTGATATAAAATATAAAATTAAATTATTTTATACACTTTTAAAATTGATAACTTTTTAATGCAACCGCTTTTTACACCTACCCGCCACGAAAAAAATATGTTAGTTTTTATGTAATTACTTATATAAAAAGTGGGTTAAAGTCATCTATTTACCCATTATATTTACCTCTTCTGGGATCAATTGTAGAATATCCAAAAGAGGTTACATCTTCTTCACTGTAATCATCATTGATGTCATAAGGTGGATTTGGATTATCTTTCATATTTATCCAACTTGGAGGTAACTTTTCGTAATCCGAATATAACCCAACCAGCCCAGGTCTAGGCAATTCAACTACGTAATCTTCAACATAATCTGGAGAGTAATCTTGTTTAATGCCATCTTGTTTACTGGTACCTTTGAAATAAGAGTTTTTGACGTTCCAATAGGGATCAGCGGAGTCATAACCTGCAGTTACTATTTTTGGAACGGATGCTATGGGCTGTGAATTTTGAACCCCAAATTTGTTTCTAATCAGAAATTCTCTCTGGCTCAAAGGTGTCACTTCCTTATTTGATCTCCTAAATCGTCTTCTGCCCGCAAACGTGGGAACAATATCATATTTGGTTTGTAATGGTAATGATAAAATACAACAAACTAGAAACGTGTTGAATGATTTTAACGATTGGGATCTGAAAGAAAATTATAATTTATATAAATGTGTTAAATTTTTAAAAATATAATACATGTAACTTACAATATCGTTGTATAAATTAATCCATTATTCTCATTGCACTTCGTTTTCTTCAAATATGTACATATATCTTCAGTGGTATTTTCATTAATTTTTGAAGAAAGATTTTCGGTAAATATTATATTATTCTTCTCTGTTTGTGTAGAAGTTAGCTCTTGTGTGATGGTTGTTGTATCTTGCCATACATCACTGACTTCAGTAGAAAATTTAAAGTCATCTTCTTTATAAGGAATCTTGTGAGTTTCTTTCATTACCATTTTTTCGTCATAAAAATTATAATTTTTAGAAGGTTGGTTATAAATTTCTTTTAAGTCATTGGGAATTACTAAATCTTTTCTGTCATCTGGGAAATAAAGTAAAAACGTATCGGGAATATTTGGTTTTTCATTTAATATTTTAATTTGATTTACACTTTTAACTGAACCATTATAAAATGCAACTTTATCACTGACTTTGCGAATACCATATTTCATGATATTTTTAGATAATACTATGGTATTTGTAGTAGGTTTTACAAGAGTCTGTTCAAAAAAATTGTCGATAGTAGATTTATTCTGCTTTCCAGGAATTTTCTTGTTTGTATGAATTTTACTTTTTGTTCCATTTACAAACTTACTCCGTGATTCAAGATGCGAAAGAAGCGGTTGTATATCCTGGACTTCTTTTACTTGATCGTTGACCAAACGGAGATCCCTGTTCAGTTGAGGGCGCGACAAGTTTGGGATTAAGAGGTAAAGCAATATTTCTGTTAACATGATGGTTCTTGTTTTCGTGCACAGCTCACGAGTGCATTGCGTAAATGAGAGTCAAACGAAGTTACAGCAGTGGGTGTAGCGATTATGTGCACTGAAATTGAGGACAATAACTGCACAATGGTGCTATAGAAATGGTGCGTGGTTTGTCTGTTTTGCAATAGGGCTCTGCGTTTCAATACTAAATTGCTTTAACGTGACAGTATTCCTTGTAACTATGTGCACTATAATAGCTCTTTTAAAATCGAATTAGAAGCAGGTATGCCAATGAAATTAGGTTCTTTATTATTTGCGGTAACAAAGCTAATATCCATAAGTAAGTACATTCAAAAATCTAATGGTTGCCTAATGCGTTTGAAAAGAATGAACATTCACATAAATATAGTGACGTTGTTTCTGTAATCTGAACACGGAATGTCAAGAAAAATACATAAGCCAAGTAAAATATATTTTCTGAAAGGTAGGTTCTATGCTGTAGCATTGATATGACAAGAGGTTTTTAAAAAATAAGAATTCGTAGTTTCCATTTCCATTAGCGTGGCTCGCCAGTCGCTGTTTTTGTTAGCATTGCCTTCATCGGATATGCAATTAGAATGCATAGCCGAGTATACACAATTTTAATTTAGACTACCAACGGAAAACGTGTGAAATGGATGTCTGAGTAGTCGAGTTGTAGATAGCTTCATTTATATACTATATTTATGGTTAGACTTTGGTTTTTGCTCTCGGGATTGTATTATACATATATAAACTTTACTTTTGAACCACTATCTATATATTGCTGAAAACTGCATTAAAATAATTTGCTTAAAACTTGCGATACTGAAAAATATTTAAGCGAGGTACATATAGCGGGAGCGCCTTTGTTTTATCTATAATATTATATAAAGAGAGAAAAGGATACACTGACAGACTGACTGACTCATCAACGCACAGCCGAAAGTCTGAACCTAGAATGATGTAATTTAGACAGTAGATTCCTATTAATTCCAAGACAAGTTATAAGATGGGATTTTTTGAAATTCACCCTCTTAAGCGTGAAATTTGTAAAAATCGTTTATTCGTATAATCTTATGCCTTGGACCTATTGACTGCAAATTTTGCACAAATATTATTTAATAGATATACACTAATCCTGTCATTGAAACTATACAAGCAGTGCCTAAGTGAAAAATAAAAAAAATATATGTAATATGTATAGAGCAAGTTGAAATATTATGTACTTATTTATTAACTAGTTTTCACAACAAAAGAAAATGTACTTGAGTTATATTATATGTATCTACGTAGAGGCGCTAATAAACTTCTCTGCAGAACGATAATCCATCTAAGTTTCTATAAGTAAATTTAAACTTTTCTCACGCGAAAATGGAAAATCCCGCTTTTGCTTAAGATATACGTAATCTTTGTTAATTACATGACTGGCTAAAAAAAAGAGTGAAATGTTTTCTTTATAAGCAAGTTATAGGTTTGTAAAACTGTGTATTTCTGTTACCACTATATTAAAAAATAATAAATTTCATATTATTAATAATTAAAGAACCGTGAATTATTCGAAGTTTTTGTACTATGACCACAACAATCGTTGTTTCATATCTATTGTATGTATTTGATGTCAACATTATGTTATAACTTAAAAAGGTTGTATTTGATTGTGTGTGTGGTGTTAAAAACAGGTCTACAATACTCGTAAGCTTTTTAAACATTTCATACTCGGCTGAAAACTCGAATATAATTTGCAACATAACCTGCTAGTATTGTAATGTATTTCCATAGTTCACTTTTATTTAATCGGGCAAGGTACTTTTCTTCGCGGAATTCGCCGGTATGATTTGATATTTTTTTTGTTTGTCCTTTCGGACAGGCTAAGGTCTAGGACCATACTGCCTCGTCATTAGTTATATTGCCCCTTTTTATAATTACAATTCAATAAAATTTCTTCAGTTTGGTAAAGACCACTTTTTTTTAAATTCTTTTTGCGGTGTGATGTAAAATTCGTGTTCCAATTTTAAATCACACGAATTCCGAGTTGAAAAGTGAGTTTGTACTTGCAGAATAGGACTGCAGTTTTAGGTGACTATCTTTATCGCCCAGTTTCCTGGACGAGATTTCATTTGAACTCTTTGGTAAAATTACGTAGAAAGCGCAGTCCCTGATTGCATTGGACATTTTCCGACAGCATTGCTTTTCCATTAACTTGACTATTCGGACTCATTGAGTAATCAAATGAATGAGTTTGCAAGACTTGAGTGTATTTAATTAAAATAAAGCAGTATAGCTTATTTTTTATTGTTTGCATTAAAAAAAAGTCTTACTTTTATTATTATTATATAGCGACAGTGAACCTTTTATTATCAGGTTTTCCTTCTGCTTGTCAGATTTTGAAGGCAAGAGAAAAGAACAAGTAAAAGAAAGCACTTGAGATAGAAGTATTAAAGTGCTCTTTGTCGACCCTACTTAAAGCTGAGTAGTTTGCAACATTAACTTAGGTTTCAAAAGTTAGCTGTTAAGATGGTTAAGCTCATTTTTTTGTTGGCAATATTCAGATAGTTTTATGATATTGTAAAGAGAACATCTTACGGAAGGATGGCCATTGGGCATTGCGCCAAAATCAACGCTTGGTTCTTGCCCAGTATTTAAGAGCTACTTGCTCTGTATTTAACCTTTTGAAAATCGAGAACAAAGGATTCTTGTCACAGGCCATTATTCTTTATAGTTTTTAACATTCCTTATCTATACAAAGAAACTTCGCGGATGTTCGCTCATTTTCAATTAAAATTTAAAGAAAATGTTAATATTTGAACATAAGTGCTTGTGATAGTATGTGTTTATAAATGTTGTTTCTTTGAAAACTGAAACGATAGTTCAAAACAATTACGTAAGTACTTAGGTAAGTAGTTTTACTAGGCGTTCGTGTTGTGTTCATTCATTATATTATGTCAATCAATCAACCGTTTCGTTGTTGAACGTATATTACGGCTACAGTTCTAAAATACATTACAGTTTAAATTGCTATAATTCGCATTTACTTATGTTTTAACGCGGCAAGCCATTATATTATGGTTGCCATAATTTGCATAATTACTAGTGCTTTCATGCAATGCAAAAAACCAATAAAGAAAATTATATATTTTTTTAAAAATAAGTTTGCCTCAGTTTTAATTTTTGCGCATAATGTGACGTCGGTAATGAAAAGAGCAGCCTGCGTATTTTAATATGGAATGTATTTCTGTCAGTGGTGAAATTGATATTGCATTTAATCTGTATCTCAAAAGTTATTTTTTTTCCGGCTGCGCAATGCAAGAGCGCGAAGCGCGACGCGCATACAGTAGTAGTATTAAAGTATATAATAGTATTTAACAGTCTATGTATGTTCCTTTGTTGCACACTACAGACCAAACGCCTGGACGGATTTTGATGATTCATACTTCAATCGATTCGTCTTAATCATGGAAGTGCTACTAAAGATATTATAGAAATCGAAATTCAATATGGGGACAATTAGGCGCCATAGTGTAAGCAAGAAAACTACTGGACTTGTATTTTTCTTTTCAGTTTTTATTTGAAATAATAATTAAGAAGTCACTTTATTATTTTTAAAATTTTCCCTTTTTTAAATATTTTTTCAGTGGACACTAACGATTACCATTTAATATTGCGCACTATAATTTTATTGTTGAAAAATAATTAATATACCACTTAATCCAACTTCCTTGGAGACAAAAAGTAAACAAATAAACCAATGTTTCATACCCTTTTTATCGAGAAAGATGATAAGTAACCAGATTAATTATAAAATTTCACATTTCAACGTTAATTATTTCCTAACCTTTTGTCTGAGAAGAAGATAAAGTATAGTTGGCAAATCAACAACATACTCGCGCAAGAACTTTTAGTGCTATCATCAGAATACAGCAATACATTTTATAAATATGAAAAACCTTATAAAATTAGTAGAAAACATTTTTATAGCCTCATCAGTGCGATTAACGATGCACTCACATTAATTTAATGTTGTTAGTGTGCGAGAAAGTTGACACTGTATTTGCTGAAAATTTCCATGATTGAAAGAGAACGAACGAGACATCGAGAAAGCGCTAAGACTATGTAGGATACTTACTTAGGCACCCCGCTTGCAGTGTGGGGTGTGGTCAGATTTCGATAGTGTAATTTATCACTAAATCGTAACCTACTTTATAGTGTTAACCTAGGATCTTAGAACCGAGAAACGGTGACGCTTTGAAAGGCAGGACTTTAATGTTAGCAATGAAATTCAAAATCAGATAAATAATATAAGAATACGAGTCTCGGCAGTAGCAAGTACCGTTTTGAGTTTAATATAATATCGTTTTTATTTGCGCAACATCTGTGCTGGATTATTTACGCGTTAGAAGTGCACCGCTCCTTTTGAGTTTGTTTAAAAATGTAGGATGCACGTCGCGAGAGGTCCGCTTTGCGAGTTTCTGAATATAAAACAGGGCGACGATACAGATGATATGAGAGAATCTCTTGTTACACTTTAACTGAATTCAATTTTGAAGTTCATGTTCAGATCGGAGGCGAAAGGAAATCTTTTCTTCATATATTAGTATCACTATACCAATAGAATTTGACTAATAGCTTATTATTATCATACAGGCGGTGAATCGAAAGATAATCAATTACCTGAAAAAGCGATTAGAAGCGGAGACGTCACACTAGACAACGCGTGTCGAAAGCGATCCTTATTTGTCTCATATATGTATTTCTCTGGCAATAACTTAGTTTTGTCTGCAAGTACTTTTTTTAACATGTTTTTTACTTATGACTTCGTCAGTGTTCTTTTTACATTTTAAATTTCTATTCTTTTTTTTAACCCTACCCTTTGTAATAGTTAAATTCGATCTCAATAGGCGTCTAATAGGTGTCAAGAAGTATTGTATGGAAGATTTTTAATTATCATTACGTCTGTTGTAGCGCTGTTTAAATGCCTGCTGTGGATTACTTTCGCCTCTATACCTTGC